TTCCTGAATACAATAGCCATTAAAGGTATAATATGTTAGGTTTGTGTATTTTAAATAAAAGTAGAGTATGCTATATTTTAGTAAAAGAATATATTCTATAGATTTTTACTAAAGTATAATTTTCAATGTTGTATAAGAGCATTGCCTTTTATTTCAATTCCGAGTTATATAGCTGTTATAACACATGACTAATAGCCTAACTATTATTCTTATATTCTGGTTTTAGCTCATACATATTTCTATGCGTTTTTTTATTAAGAACAGCAATGTCCGGAAGTAATTCCTGGATATATGCTAAGGGCTGTCCAGATCGATCTGCTAAGTCTTTAACAGACCAATACGGGTATTCTTCAAATGCTCGGAATATAATATCCATGACTTCTGTCTTGGAAAGCCTTTCTCTTTTCTTTTCCATAAGCATTTTCTTTCTTTTTCTAGCCATAATGTCATATTCAGTTGCACCGTACCTCTCCATGCGGATTCCTTCCTTTAGACTGTCAACTGACTTTACGTCTTTCTTTACATTTAATACGGCGCTTCTTTCTCTCTTATACTTCAAATATTCTGGAGTTATTTTAGGCTTAGCATACACCTCATCTGTAATTACTCCATCAATGAATGCGCCGTGTGGCTTCTGAACAAATGTAAATACCCCTGTCTTAGCCTCAAGTGGTTCAATTATCCACTCTCTGGGAAAGTTCTGTGGGCCTAGCTGTGTGCTAATTTTTAGGACATTAGAAGTACCTCTTTCTTCTATATGCCCTATTTCTACAGGCTCTGAATACTCTTCAAGATACTCTTCAAGAATTCTTGGAATTTTAACTAAAGTAACGCGGGTGTGTCTTCTCTCCCCCATAAATAATTTTGTTAAATGATAGTTTATTTAAACCGTGTTGAAAAGTTCAAAGTATGGGTTAATTGATGCCACCACACTTGGGTCTGCCTTTGTCTTTCCAAGCTTCAAGCATGGCTTCTTGTCAAAGAGGGCCTGTACTTCTTGAGACTTCAGTAAGACTTTAACATCTGGGCAACTAATCTTAGACTCTGGTAAGTTGTATCCTTCTTTAACAGCAACTCTTCCATCATCTCCAAAGAGCTCTCTTAATCTCTCAAAAGCTCCCTCTGTCCATACAACAAGTCTTCCAAGGTGACCACCAGGTGCAAGCTTTAAAAGATCTAATTGGTCAACTGGCATTAAGTCTATTCCTCTGATGTTTCTAAATGCTTTGGTAATTCCTTTATCCTCTTTGTAAATGACAAGAACTCCTCTTCTTAAGACCCATCTTCTGTTTCTTGCTTTACCCTTTCCTGCTCTTATGGCTTTGCTGTTTTTTACTCTTTCAATTTCTTCTGTAAGCGAGAAGTTGTTTATAAGTTCAAGAGCTTGCTTAGTTCTCTTTAAAGACTCTATCTCATTGGAAATAACAATTGGTATGCTCTTCAACTGAGAAATAATATGTCCTCTGCTTTCAACCAGGGCAGGAGATGCAGTTGCTGCAACTGCCATTGCTGCGGCATGCCTTCTTGTGTTCTTAGTAGTCTTTCTGAACCATCTTCTTAAAACAGTAGTAGGACTGGCCATTCTACCCTTTCTACAGAAGTTGGCAAAGGCTCCCTGTCCAGCTCTCTGTGTACCACCACCGGATACACGAGGCACTCTAGCAAGCGCTCTTCCAGTTCCCCAGGAGTGGGCAGAATGTCTCATACCGGCCATTGGATCAACTGCATATGGCTGTCTGGTGTTTCTCTTTACCATATCGTGAACAACGCATACTAAGTCACTTCTCACTGGAATGGAGAATACTTTTGGTAAGTCTACCTTTTTATATATTGTGTTTCCGTCTATTTCATAGCACTCTACTTGATTTTGTATCATTGCCCTTGTCTCTAAAAAGAAAAATAAAATTATAAATATTTTCAGAGACAGTTGGTCGGAATAAAATTATTAAAGAAGTAAAATATTTATACCCCTGCAACAGCTAAATAGCAGATAGGTCATCCAATCAAAATGCCACAAACGATTCCAATTATAGAAAAATGAAATATAACGGTAAATAATTTTATTGTAGAAATAAGACCAGCCATTAGTTATATACATAAGATACTTTAGATATATCCGGCAGATAAATTGTAGTTACATAGTAAATCAATGATATGCATGCTGTCAAAGTAGCTAGAGCACTGGATATTGTTATTTTGTATTTGAATATTTTTACTTGATAAAGAGAGAATAGTTTATATTCGGTTATTACCAATAAGGCAAATATAGAAGGTAATATTCTTAGAAGAGTATTAAATTCATTAGGAATATGTAAAAGTGAAAGAATATAAAACACAGCATGGTTTAAAAGTATTATGAAGTACTCGTTCGTTGTGGATAGGTGATTTGTTAATACAAAGAACATTTCTGGTATGTTAATGCATACACAAGGTATTAATAAGAATATAAGAACTAAAATAGAAATGGATTCTTTTTCTGTGTGAATTTCTCTATTTTCTTTGGGATGACTAGAAGGAATGAGTATCATAAGCACAAATGACAAACACAAGCAAATCACAGGCACAAACAGCATATCATTTGCATTGTATAACAGAGTTAAAAATGTATAACCCGAGAAAATTCCTATAAGTATTAATGCGATAGAAATACCCTTTTTAAGCCAGATTGATTATCATTGAAGATGGATTGGCTAGTGTATATTCAGTATTTACTAGAGTGTGTGGCATAGCATCAAAATTTATGTCAGTGTCTGGTGGATTAAAAATGTTTATCATTGAGTAGTTTAGAAAGAGTGTGTTTTTTATTATATACAGGAATTAATTTTAGAATAAAATCTAGTAAAAATAGATTCTTCTGTTTTATGGAAAATTTACTATTAGACTGTATATTGGTGCGTCCTATTGAAAAGATTGCTTAATTAGGAAATAACAACAATACAATTAGGGTTATATTATAAAAATATATCAATTTGCTATTGAATACACTATTAGAGGGGAACTAAAGAATAGACTAATAATGTAAGGCATAAATTATCCATAGTTCACAAATAATAAGCCTATGAATATAATCCAAAGCTAGAATGCACAATATAAATTATTTTATAGTGAATTCTATGGAATATTTAGTGTAGAATTGAGTTTATTTGGGTTATTATGGCAAGCAATGGATATTTATGCATGCTTTAAGAAGTAGTGGACTGATCTAGCATAAATAGTCTGGGGTTTAGATTGTTATATTAGAAGGTATTATACATAATTATCATAATATAGGCAAATTAGAACAAAGAAGCCCAAGTTCAGAATACACATAAAACATTTTTAGTCCATTAAGGACACGGCTAGAATTGAGTATATTATAATACGAAAGTTCATTTATGAGAGATAAATATTTTTAATTAGTAACTAGAGCAGTATATGCAGATTTATTCTAAAGTATTTAAAGCACACACAAAACTACAATTAGGGCTTTGTTGCCTGTATTATTATGCGATTTGACATATTCTTAGAATATTCTGTTATGTTTTCTTTTGATATTTTTTGAATTTCTTTAGAAATAATCTCTTTGTTTTCTAAATTGAATCCCATATCCTGCCAATATCGGAATAGCTCTTGAGAGTAATCTTCCAAATTAATGGCCTCCTCTTTAATGGCTAGTATAGCACTATTCTTGTGGGTTGTATACTCATCATCAGATATAGCGGCAAGTCGGCTTTCCACAAGCCCAATAAATTCTTCTATTCTTGCAGTTACATTATCAAGAGTTCGGGTGCTTTGAACTGTAAAGTGCACATAAACTTTTTTCATGCATATTTTATACGACATAAACACAATGTATCCATACTCTTCCTTTGTTCTTAGCTCATCAAAGAACTTTTCAGAGAATATCTGTGCTAGAAGTACACCAGTGGCTATAGACTGCAGAAGGCTGTCTAAAACCACTCGGTGCACAATTGTAACTGCAATATTCTGCAGGTCAACAGTAGGCAGAAGTAGTTTCTCCTCCTTTGGTGTAAATGAGAATTCGTGCGGTGCAAATGTAATGTACTTACCTATACGGGCTATTATATGCTCAAACTCTTTTTCTGTTATATTTCCCACCCCAAGTACTTTCACCTGAGCTTTGCTTATAACAACAAGATCATCTGGAAGAAGCTCTTTAGCCGCCTGCATAAGTTTATACACGTCAAATTTTGGATACCCAGCTAAGTAGCTAATTCCTGCTACAGTGCTTTTATATGGAGACTGCCTGGCCTCGTGTAAAAAGCAAGAGAGTGCAGATTCTTTTGCTAAGCTGAATAGCTGGGTGTCTCTGGCAGTGTATTCGTTAAAGAATCTTTCAACCAGATCCTCAATAATTACAGGCGTACCGTTGAATTTAACACCGAATCCGTACACAGACTCACATGTTCCTAATGTAACAATAGATGCCATCATGCCAAATTTATACTTCTCATTGAATATCTTAACAAAGGCCCTGAAATACCCAATTGCTGCTGCATACGTCTTTTCATCTGCCAAATGCTCATCTGTCTCCAAAATAAGCTTTATCTCTGCATTTTTTCTATATTTTGGATTGTGTACCAAATACCCAGAGCACCCTTGCTGACATATGTCCTTGCACATAATTGCTGCCGCTTCATCCGGATATTCTGGTATGTTCTTAGGAATACACCCTAGACTAACTGACACACTGTCTTTTCTTGCCTCAGACAGATCCTTTTCTTCTGGCACATTGAAAGACCACTCTATCTTACTTTTTAGCTCACTAAGCAGCTGTACATTCTCTTCTGGAATAACATCAATTAGATAGTTAATTCCATAGAACTTATCCACAATTATGTTTTCTGGATCATGCACATTCTTAGCCTGGTACATAATTACCCACTTGCTTTTGTCTAGCATGATGCCTATTATCTGGTCAAACTCTTCTTTATTAAACCCATCCCATATATGCTCATGCCGCAGAAACTCCTCAGTAGGGTAAAACTGCATGGTTTTTGTTGCATGCTCAACTAGCTCAAGAGGCTCAATTGACTCATTTGCATCAAATTCCTTTTCACTAATGGTTTTAAACACATTGTATAGCTCACTAGTTGCATTGGTTTTGATCATTTCCAGATAATGGTGCACCAAATCTCGTATAACAGATATTTGTGATCTATTGTCATCTACCAGCTCAATAACTATCTGAATTGTCGTGTTTATAGAAGTTTCATCCAAACAAGCTGTCATTTTTGTTGCTATTCCCTCTTTAAGAAGCGTACCAACCAGGCCAGAGTGCCCGGTTCCATTTAATAGTTCATCAATGTACACGCATGTTTTATTTCGGTAATTTGTGATAGACTCAGGAAGCACTATACTAATAGTCATTGTACAATGCTCTGTGTTAAGATTCACAGCAGGCCGGTATAGAATCACCTTGTTCTCTACCTCCTCGTTAAACACACGATAGTCTAAATCACCCTTTTTCTGGCAGATTGGAGGCAGATACATTTTGTCGCTCCATGAATACTCAGCTTCATATGGCTTAATGTCTGAAAAGCACTCATTTACCCATTTCTCCAGCACGTCCAAAGGCTCGCTTCCGTGTACGGCCAGGCACATTCTTTCCGGCCGATAAAAGCACTTCCAGAAATTCATTAAGTCCTCTCTAGTGGTTGAAGCGAGCGTTTCAGATGATCCTATGTTAAACTTGCCAGTGGGCGAGTCCTTCTTTGCAATAAGCGTGAACAAGTGATACCTCCTCCAGATCTCTGCCAGGATATTAACACTATATTCACTGTTCACAGCCTGCAGCTCTCTTGTCAGCGCATCTTCTCGTATCAAAGGAGACTTAAAGAACCCACTAAACATTTCCATACTTTTTCTTAGCCGTACAGGGTCTATGTCATAGAAATAATTTGTTACCTCGTCCGCAGTGTTTGCATTGCTGTTTCCCCCATTCATGTGAATATATTCCATATATGCATTTTCATCAGGGTACTCCTCTGTCCCCATAAACAGCATGTGCTCAAGAAAGTGTGCCATGCCCATGTGCTCAATTGGATCAGAATAACTGCCAACTTTCACAGACATCGCAACCGCTGCCTTATCAGCGGCTGGATCATGTGATAGCAGTACTCTTATTCCATTTGGCAGTGTAATTGGTCTATATATATACCTATCTCCCTTTCCTACTAACATTCAATGGCATGGGCAATTAAATTTTAAATATTAATAGCCCATGGGGACAGTGTTTAGTGGACTGACAAAAGAAGACATTAAAGCAGTAAAGCAGACAGGATGCCGCCTGCCGCCCAAGCAGATAAAGCTTCTGTACAAGCGATTCAAAGACTTAGACAAGGAAGAAATCGGAAGAATATTTGTAGATCAGCTACTTTGCATTCCTGAGATAAGCATAAACCCACTTGGCGAGAAAGTGGCCCGAAAGATATGCGATGAAGAGGGGAAAATCGATTTTAATGGATTTGTGTCTGCTGTTACAATATTCAGTAAATATTCAACAAATGAGGAAAAAGTACGATTTTTCTTTAATTTAATATCCACAAATGGAAGAGTTACTAGAAGAGATCTGGAGGAGATAGCCAGTAATCTATACCCAAAGGATGAAAAATCAGAAGAGATTCAAGCAGGAATTGACGATGTATTTAAAGTATACGATAAGCAAAACAAAAATTTTATAGAGTGTAAAGACCTTAAAGGCATGGATTGTAATGCTCTTGGTAAAATATTCTAAGTGGAATTGCCATATTTGGAAGTAAACATGTTTCTGTATTATTCCAAGTAAAATAAAAATAAACCGTTCATATAATTATTTTTATTTTATAACTGAAAGGATTGTTTCCTAAAACAAGTATAAATCATTTTTGTAATTTTTCAATCTGACTCTTGCAGTAATTGTACTTCTCTGTTGTATTCTGTATTTTGTTTTCTAAATCTTTCAGCTTTTTTAGTGCTGCCAAGTATTTTGTCTGGGTGCTTAGCAAATGCTTTTCCTTCTTTTCCAATTCTGCATTCTTTTTGTCGGTCGCTAAAATCCACTTGTTTATTTCGGAAAGATAGTATTCTTCAATTGTTTCTGTCCTTTCTGGTGCATTTATGCGCTGAAATTCTTTTATATTTTCCACAATTTGGTTTACTGTGCTAATTCGCTGAACCACTTCATCAAGTGCGGCAATGCTTGTTCGCAAGTCGTGCTCAAGAGAGTCCATGGCTAAAATATTTTTGTATTATAAATATGTATCCGTGTCATATAAAACATGGCGTAATTAAGAAGTTAATATGAAAATGTAGAAGAAGAGACTGAAATGATCTTCGCCTTTTTGCTGTATGCTATTTTTAACGCACCAGTGAATAATCAGAAGAGCAACACTAAATAGCAGGGATATAAAAATTTTAAATAATTAAATACCATGGCAAAGCAGAGAGAGTGCGCAACCCGCCGAAAAGTTGAGAGAACTAAAAGCGATATAGACATTGAGGAAAGAAAGAGAAAGGAAGAAATAAAGAAAAACAGACATACAGACACGTGGAATAAAAGAGCTGAAATCAGAGACCAGAGAAGAGCGTTAAGAGCAGAAATACTCAAAAGAGACGAAGAGACACAAAAGGTGCTCACAGCAAATAGAAGTGCCCGAATGGCCCTTAGAAAAAAGAAAAAAATGCTTAGAGACTTATACAAAGATAAAGAATAAATAGACTAATATAGCAGAAGAATAAAACATATGAACAAATGTGTGATAATTATTAAATTAAGCATAGAGGATAGCGGAGTATCCGGCACTAGAAATAAAAAGTTATACTCAGTGAGTCTATATAAAAACTTATGCATTGAGTGCCGCTGGCCCTATTTGTACCTTTAGTTGCTTACCAAGAAGGGACGTGTTTATCTGTAGAAGTATTAAGAGCTCTTTGTTTGTGGTGTGCTTTACCGACTCTATGTAGTATAGCTCTGCCAGACCGTATAGCTTGTACTGGTGGAAGGCCCTTCCAAGGTTATATAGTAAAAGACCGAGCTTTTCTGTTGGATTGTCCTCTGTATATGTTATGTCTTGTAATCCATTTTTAGTTATATTTACTGTGTATATAATTAAGCCATTCTCGACATCTGTGCGAACTGCATTCTGTTGGTGCCTATATACGGACTTAAAGAGTAATACATGATCCTTTAGGATTTTTATGCCTTTTTTTATGTATCTGTCTCTGTCCACTACTTTTCTGCTGGATGCGTGTGTAAGAAAAAGAGAAGAAAGAGCAATAGCTCTGGTTATATCAATTAGCGGCATGTCTTTATACGGGTGCACAGAGCCTTCCACATTTTTTTCAAGTCTTTCTGCTGTATAAGTGTATATAAAGCTAGGCATATATGAAAAGCACATAATTGTAAGAATGTCTTGAGTGCTCTTCTTACGGGAAAGATTCTTTCGCCGGAGATTCCTCTGAACATTCTTCTGGAACTTGTAGTACTCTGACTTTCTGTGAAATTTAGGAATCTGGCTGATCAAAAAGTAGCACATATAATAGAAGGATACGGAGTCTACGCTATTTCTATGGGCATAATATCTGATTATATTTGTAATCCCCCAGTGCATAGACTCAATATCCTTGGCATCTTTTGATACTCTGACCAGAAGCCACAAGAGCCCAGTATACTCTTCAAATAAGCTGCGAAGTGCTGGGGATGTAAGAGCCTTTCTAAGAAGAAGAATTGAGAGGTCGTATGATCCATCATAGTATAGTGCTGTGATGTATCTGCGTATAACTGTAGACCACTCTTTCACAGTCAGGCCCCCAAGAAGAGAAGATATTACATCAAAGTAGATTTTCTTACCAAGGATTACTTCTTCTGACAACTCATTTGTAAACACTTTCCCCAGTCCATTTATCTCATGAAGTAGCTCGTAATCAGTCTCAAACTCTTTCACCCCAATTAGTTGCTCTTCTGGGATATGGTCACTTTCTAGTAGATTTCTTTTCTTTTTCTTTGGAGCAAATACAAATGTGTTTTTTAATAGAAACATGACTAGCTCCTGTGCTGAACTTATAAAGTATTTTCTAACTGACTGGTCGTGTATGTTTTGCTCTTCATATATGTGCATGGCTTTATACATCAAGGACCGCATTCGCATGCAGTCAATTTCTTTATAAAATAACAAACCGTCTCTTTGAATTCCTTCAGTAATTGTACTGGTCTGTATTTGCAGGGCGTACTCCAGCGCCAAGTCAATATTTCCTATTTTCTTATATATCTCAGATATTCTCATCTTTACTTCTTCCAGCACACTCTGCAGTGATTCTGAATACTTTGTACTAAGAATTTGTTTATAATGCATGATGCTCTTGTCATAGTCTCTTAGCTTATCATACACTAGTCCTATTCTTTTTTTAATATTTATGCTTTCAGCTATAACCCTATCCTTTACTAGCCCTATTTCATCCGTATATTCCTCTCTTGCCAAGTAAGAATCTGCACACTTGTCTATCATTATAAGCAGTTTAACAGATAGTTTATACTTTCTCATTTTAATAAGAATATCCACTAAATATCCTGTCAGCGAGAGATGGATAGGATCAGAAATCACATTTACATCAAAGTTTACGTTAATTATCGAAGTTTTTTTAGTTGTCTCAATAAGAATGTTATGTGAGGCATCGATGTCTGCTATGTCTCTGCATGTGCACAAATTATGCCCAGCACAAGACTGGCATCTATTTATAATCTCAGAGAATATAACAGAAAAAAACAGAATAATCTGTGACCGAATACACACCACACTCTTCCTGCAATAAACCAGTGAATTGTTCAACTGTGAAAGCAAATGATACTTACTCTCAACAAATAATAAGTCAATATATCCAATTATAAACCCGTCAGAAAGTAAAGAAAAGGTTTTTTCTTTATCCAATGCTCTACTAATTATCTCAATAATTCTACTTCTGTTCTTAAGTAGGCGCACATTACTTAATACTTCAAAAATAACCTCAGCAGGAAACTCTGGTCCCATCATCTCTGCTTTAGTCTCAAATACTTTTTCAAGGTTATTTTGTTTTTTATATATCGTTAAAAGGTCTTGTAGCGTTTCTGTGCTTGTTTTTAATTTCTTAATTTTTTTAAGAATATATACTTGGTACTCCAAATCGTTCTCTCTTTTTTTGTAGTCATACAATTTTCTCCAAAGAGTTATGTCACTTCTTTTTATGCTAGCAGCAATTAAAAATGCATTAAATGCCTTTTCTGTCTCTTCCTGTTCTTCATATATTACGCCCAGTAAGTAATAGGCATTATCACTGGTGCTGTGATAAGTAAGCGCTTCTTTTATTTTGCTAATTGCAGCAGAAAAATCGCCTTTTACATATAATTTGTTTGCTAAACCTAGTGTATCCTCTGCTATCTGCCTATCACTGTTTTTTCCTCTTTTCAGCCGCCTTTTCATTATGCGGACAGACTCTTCCTTTTCTCTTCTGATGTACTCTTCAAATCCACTTATCTCGTCTATTTTTGGAGTCTTCGACAGCCAACTCAAATAAACCATAATCTCCCGAAAATATTTGAGTCTAAAATATTTTTAATATTTGTAAGATGTCTGCAGACAGAAAGATATTTGTGTTTGACCTAAACGGAACACTCTTAACAAGAGTAAAAGAGAACAAGGGAGAAATTCTGAATTTAATGGAACCAGATGGAATTATTCCAGGAATGGGGGATCTTATATACGTAAGACCCCATTTAGACAAATTAATAGAGTACTTGCACAGCAATGCCATTGAGTATGTTTTATGGACAACTGCCATGGAGCATAATGGAATACATTTAATGAATGCTGTTGAAAAGAAAGGAATGACAAAATCTCTTTATAAATTATATCATGCACACTCTACAAAAATAGAAGGACATCCATTTAAAAGAGGAAAGGATTTAAGCGTTATTTCAAATCTAGTGGGTGTGCCAGTAAATAATATATTTTTAATCGATGACGAGGTTATTAAGTGCATACCGTCATCTTCGCACATCCCAATAGAAGAATATAATATATTAAAGTCGAAACAAGACGCCGCTCTTATTAAAATAATAGAAGTAATTAAATCGCATATGAAATAATTTCGGGATAATTTTAGAATAATTTCTCGATATGTTAAAGTGATTAGCTAATAAATATTAATAAAAAGACAATATATTTTATATAATATGAAAGTGTCAAGGATTGCTGGAATAATTAGAGAGAAGAGCGAATTTTTATTAAAGTATAAGGAGTGCTCGTATAGTTCTGTGATATATGATGACATCTTAAATATCACAGAAGAAATTCTTACTTCGCAAATGAATATGCAGTATGCAGTATATCTACTTAATGTGTACTATGTTTTGCTCAATGAAAGCAAGGAGATGACGGTGCGCGAGGTATTTTACCGGTGCAAAAGATTATTTAAAGAACAAAAGAAAGTAATTAAAATATTAGGAGACATAGAAAAGCGGCTGAATATAACTTTAAATATAATTTCTGGGTACAAGGGATTGCTATATGGAGAGTGTAAAATAGTTAAAGAAGCAGAAGAAATAATAATGAAGAATACTTCTGTTATACCTCGTGTAAGACCTGGCGAGAGAGTAGTGACTGGTGCTAGTGTGGTGATTGTTGTAGAAAAAGAGGCAATTTTTAATGATATTATACAGGAGATAGAGAATATAGAAAATAAAGTAGGTAAAGTATTAATTATTACTGGGAAGGGGTATCCTTGCACTAATACACTTATGTTTCTTGGTGTGCTTTCTAGTGTTAGAATATATGGACTATTTGACTGTGATCCACACGGGCTGTCTATATACTCTGTGTATAAGTATGGAAGTAAAAAAAGGCCGCACTTAAAAATACCGAACATGCAGAGAATAGGTGTACACCTGCAGGATATACCTGTTACACGAGAGACAATCTATATTCATCGTAAATATCAGATAACTCTTCTAATGAATTTAAAGACTATAGAAGAATTAAAGAATGACATTGATATAATGATAAAAACAAAAAGAGTCGCTTCAATAGAAGAAATAGTTCAGATAAAACCTGTATACAAATACATAACTGGCAAAATAATGCACAGTGCATAAGAAATGTACATGCATACTATGATAATAGAAAAATGAATGCCACCTAGATACATTACTATAATAGGGATGGCATTCTGGAATGACTGGACAAGTATGTTTAAGCGACTGGTATTAGCCATGCTAATCTAACTGATGCATTTAAAGCTGTTCTTAAAATTTCGGGTTATGTAGCTAATCTGTAAAAATACTAAAATAAATAATAGAACGAAAAGACTTTGCATGAATTTATTCTACAGCTCATCTGATAAAAAGTCCTGGCGCTTAATTATATACAACTCTGTCTGTATGAATTCGATTGGACCTATATACAAGGTCTCATCTACTATTGAGGAAAGTGCATCAAATACGCCTTTCACTCTTTCTCTTTTCTCTCCTGTAAATTGCATATTTTATACAATTTCTTCCAATAAGTCTGCATCATGCAAGTCATCTTCTTTTGCATATTGATTTACATATTCACACACTTTCTTTTCATACGCCTCTATATTTTCTCTGTATAGCTTTCCTGCCTCAATGTTCAGTGGGTCATCTGGGTTTGGGTACGCCAATAGCTGTGGAAGGAATGTTTCAATAATATTTAAAACATCATAAAGAGGCGACCAAACTTGATTTAGCACATCCAAGCAAACGCTTCCACTGCTTTCATCAATGTTCGGATGGAATACTTTAGTAACAAACCCAATTGATGGAGACTTAAATGGGAAGTCCTTTGGAAGGAATATGCGTATTTTATACTTTCCCTGGGAAAATGGAGTACCAGGGGGCCCTTTGATTATTACGTAGAAGGATGAGCCAGCAGAAGAGTCTTCATACTCTACTGGATAGTTTTTCTTTAATAGTTTCTTCACTTCTGTTCTCAGTCTATTCATGCTTGTTCCTGTTGTTTTGTAAATAAAAAGCTTATCTTGAATGGTTCGCTATTTAAAATTAGAATTGGTTTATTTTTGCACTATGAATCTGACAATTCTTTCAGCATACTCCGAGAAAACGGGAGTAATTGGCGCAAATGGAAAACTACCATGGCCAACTCTCAAAACAGACTTTCAATTTATGAAATATATAACAACCAAATCGCCAACTGGCATAATTATGGGTAGATCCACATTTGAATCAATAGGAAGGCCCCTTCCCAACAGAACAACAATTGTGCTTACATCACAAATGAAAAATCCAATATTCGGTTCTAATTATAAAGTGTATTTTAAGAGTTCATTAGATGCAGCAGTTTCTTTATGCAAAGAACTAGAGCTAGAACCAATTGTATTTGGTGGCAACGCAGTATACTATGAAGCAATTAAAAGATACAATTGCACGGTATACTTAACAGAAATATACAAAGAATACAGTGGAGACGCATTCTTTCCTTTGGATTTGATAGATAGAAGCGGTCTAATTGATATAACAGAAGAGGTAAAGAAAGAGTTAAAACTGCATACAGAAGATATTAATATTAAAAAAATCCAAGAAAAAGAGAAGAAAGAGTGGGTTTACACAAGAACAGATGGAAGCGTTATTGACATGAGAAATACTGTTTGTGAGAATAATGTTTGCTATTCTTTCTTGAAGGGAAGGATTATTCAAGATACGCAGTGAAAAATAAAACGCATAAAATATCTTTTAATTTTTATACCCTTGAAAAATGGTAAACGGACCACGAAAACATTTAAAGAGACTGAATGCCCCAAACTCATGGATACTTGACAAGTTAGGAGGTACATTCGCCCCAAGGCCAAGATGTGGACCACACAAGCTAAGAGAATGCCTTCCTCTGTGCTTAATAGTTAGAAGAAAGCTGAGCTTTGCCCAGAACACTAAAGAAGTATTACACATTTTAAATGACAGACTTGTGAAGGTGGATGGAAAGGTAAGAAAGGACCCAAAGTACCCAGCAGGAGTTATGGATGTAGTGAGCTTTGACAAGATTCATGAGAACTACAGATTATTATACAACGTAAACAAGAAGTTCTGTCTGCAGCCAATTACCAAGGAAGAGGCAAAGTTCAAACTTTGCAAAGTACTTAGCAAGAGGCTTGAAGGAAGAAGTATTCTTACTCTGCACACCAACGACGGAAGAACCATTAAGTATGCAGACCCAAGCATCAAGATCGGAGACAGCATTAAATTCGACTTAGAGTCTGGCGAAGTACAGGGCTTCTACTCTCTTGAGGTTGGAAAGACTGCATATGCCTTTAGAGGAAAGAACTTGGGATGTGTTGGAATTATTCGTGAGATTAAAGTGCACATCAGTGGATTCTCTATTTCCATTCTGGAGGACTTAAATGGTAGAATGTACACCACAAGAACAGACAATCTTATGGTTATTGGAAATGCAGGTGAGTCTTTAATCACTCTTCCAAAGGAAAGAGGTATCAGAACCAATGCCATGATGGACAGTAATATGGTCTATGGTGAGTTCAAAGAAGAAGAAGACTTCGAGGAAGAAAACTCTGTTGAGGAGAGTGATGAAGAGTAAACAATAAAATCTTCATAGTTTATTTATAATGAAAGTGATTTGTCAAGTGTGCTTAGTATTGCAAGAGGAATCCGTCTTTCAAGATCCTCGCACTCATTCTTTCGAATCTCATCTTCTAGCTCTTTTTTCGTAGTTTTTTGTTTCTGTCCAGTGTGTCCTTGGATATACTTGTTCTTGATGTCCCGAGTACTCCGCATTAGCTGGTTTAGCTCAGACAGCCCATCAAGTACTGGAGAGAGCGATGGTATGCTTTGCAGGCTCTTGCACTTCTGTAGCATTTCCAAATTTACTCGAGTCTTTTGCTCTATCCCCTCCTTCACAGCAGACACCTCTGCCTTTTTTATTGCTAGTGAAAGAATCTTTTCTTTTAAGTCTTCTGAGGGAATTGGATCAATAGAGGACTCCTTTCTATTATATACAAAGTCTTCTGGGAAAGTAAAGATATTTCGCAAAGTAAACCTCTCAAATATTAACATGTTCTTCTGCAGCGCCGTCTCTATTCGATCCATTCTTCCTCGGATATTCTCTGCGCTGCCCAGTGAGCCTACAATTATTTTACTCATTCCTTGGTACAGCTCCATGTGAAAGTCTGCTGGAAAGAAAGAGAAGAACTCTAATTCATCTTCGTATTCACTTGCCATGCGAATAAATAAAATATTTCGCAGCACCACTAAAATACACTGCGAATTTTATTTCCATTGAAATTCAGCTAAAATTATAATTCTTGTGAATGCCATGTGTGAATTCTATATAAATACATTTCTAGATAGCCGAGCATGCGTGGATGTATCTGTTAATAGAAATAATTTAATTGTTATATATATTTATCAGCAGGCACTTAGACTAGTACTTTCAGGCTATAGATAAATCTAAATTGGAAATTTTGTTTTGGTATAACGATTCAGATATAATTAAGAGAGCGTTTTAATCGATATACTTAGAATTTATATAAGTATTTGGGCGCTCACTACTAAATATAGACAGGAAGAACTGAATAAAGATTACTATTGTCTTATTAGTAGTAATGGTTTGTGTACAGAGTTCTATGATTTGTTTATGATCTTAGTTAGAGTTCTTTTATTAGCAAGTAAGAACTGCCTTCGGGTGAGGTACATTCTTATACTCTAGTTCGGGTTATTCTGTGTGCAGCAAATGTATATACTTGTGGTGGATGAGAAAGCGCTCGGTGTAATTATTGTTGAGCTTGGTGTGGTCTATACGCGCGCATGCAAACATCTATGAAATAGTATGTGTGGTGTGTATACTCTTTGGTTTGTGCGTGCACTGTTGCATACTGAATGGTGATTAGTGGCGGTAAAATACCCGCCAATAATTTGTTATAAATACTCTGAAAAGAAACTATTGAATGCGCGCGCCAAGATTATCGTTCTCAGAGGAATTCAGAGATGTATGGGATAAGGAGAACAAAGACCCCGACACATTAGAGTTTTCTTCAAAAACCATTGCTGGCTCCTGTGAAAAGAAAGAAGGCGAAAATAAAAGCACTTCTTCAAAAGTAGACATAGCTCCAAAAGTAGAGCTTCTTTGGCTAAACGAATTATTAGGATGTATATTATAAATAAAGACTAGAAAATGAATAGGTTTATATGTGGTTTAAGTGCATGTGTAATGATTGAAGCTTTTGAATTTGGGTGAGATTTACATAAATTAAAATGCGAAATTGAAAATATGAAAAAGTCTAAAGAAATAGACCAATACTTCCAAATGGATGAACAGCCGCCTGCAGAGATGGAGGAGAGAAGGCCGTCTGTACGGAGGGTGAGCTTTGCGCTTGAACCTCAGATTGTATATTCTCAGGTGAAAGATGAAACCAGTAAATCAGAAAGCAGCTCAATGGGAATGAGCATGGAAGTTCCAAACAAAATGTCGATGGAGCTTTCGCTGGATGACAATTTGATGGAAGAAGAGCTTTTACAAAATGAAACCCTTCCTTTATGCGAAGAGAAGGAGGAGAACTTTATTATGGATGACTCAGAGGAGACTTTGGAAGAAAGGCGAATGAGCATGTGTCCTGTTGACAGGGAGAGGACTATGGAGCAAACAATTTGTAATATTCATCTTGCAGAGAAGGAGTCTGCAGCATGCACTGCAAGCCCAGAAAGGAATGCGCAATATAGCACTGTGCAGAACAGGGCATCGAATGAACCTGTTAGTGGTTATAATAATACTCAACAGAGCCAGGGGAGTGCACTCAGCCCAGTAAATGAAAAAAGAGATAAGTCTGTATTATCTTTAGCTAATGCTGAAGAGGAGGGCGGTATTAGGCTTGAGGAAATATTAGAGCCACTTTCACCAAGTAAAGATGCATATGAGCACATTCCAGTGAGTGAGTGTTACAACAATGCAGAATACTCTTTGGATGGGGATAGAGATGACATCTTAAGTGACATGCTATCAGAGATTGTGTGTGCTGCGGATAATAATACTTTGGTGTATGATACAGTGAATGTTGAAGAGGTTCTTAGTAAATATGAGACTACGAAGAAAGAGGAGACTAAAAAAATACGTGAAATACTAGCAGAAACTGGGATAAGATTTTTAGACAACTTATCTCTTGGCAACAGAAGGGAGACTTTGTCTAAAATACGAAATAAGGTAGAACCTGCTGATGTAATCTACTACAAAGAATTCATGCAAAGAAGAATTGACACACAAAATGCACTATCTTCAAAGCTTTCTGCTGAAATAGAAAAGGCCCGAGAGGAAACAGAAGTAATTGAAAGAGAGGTAGATTGTACAGGTCTCTCATCAATTGACAGGAACACTCTTCTCTCAAAGCTGCGCCAAATGAAATCAGATGCAAGAAAGGAGGGAAAGTCTCACTGGCACAGGAAAAGACTTGGCGTGGAAAGAGAGTTCCTAGAAGAAACAGAAAGAATTTATGCGGGGTTTGAAAAGGAAAAGGCAGAGTTGGCAGAAAAGATTGAAAAAATGAAAGAGGAAATCCAAAAAACAAATCTAATAGACCTAGAAAAGAAAGAAAGATCGATGAAAGAGATTCTTCTAAAAATAGGCACACTTACGCAGGAGGAAGTAAATGAATTTGTGGCAGAAGTGGAGCAGAATAAAAAGGATGAAGTCGCGCTAAAAGACTGCCTAGAAACAAAATCAGCAGAACTGGCATGTATAAAGCAAAAAAACGAAGAAATCTCACAGCTAATAGAGAATGAAAAGGCAGAAATACAAAACCTGCAAGAAAGTCTTCTTGTGGAAGAGGTGCAGAAAGATGACTTAGAGCAGATTAAAGTGGCCGTGCAGAGGATGGAAGTTATACTGGGGGTGAAAATACTTGAGATCTCTCACAGCAGACTTCTATTTTCTGTCTGTGATATTGTAATTACAATTATATATGATGGAGTGACCATTGTAGACGTCTATGCAGAAACAAAAGTGAAAAGCATTTTTAAAGAGTTTATTGCTTTGTCAATCGGAAAGAGCCTAGTGGCAATGGATTTAATCGTAGAAAGCATTCCAATGATCATTCGATATGTCCTTAAAATGGCATCGATTGAGAAAGAGGTTAAGAAGCTTGGTGTGTCTGTTCCGTATGAGATATACTACACGGAAAAAGAGCTCTCGATTCAGTTTATGATACGAAAAGGAAAGACTGGCCAAATGGGGAATGTATCTGCAATATTTAACTCTGGCGAGTCGACTCCCACAATAACCAGTAATATAAAGGGCTTTAAAGCGCCAGACAGCGTATATGAAAGTATTTCAGAGTCTGTAAATCTGGCCAGATCAATTGCTCGCGTTAAATAGTTGGTGTTCCTAAGTTAATATTCCTAAAAATAAAGATATATTTTGATAGCAAGGCTGTCTATTTGGGGATTTAAGAATATATAAGAAATAATCTGAATTTCGGATTATTGTTTATGTGCAGTAAATAATCTGTGGGATATTATGGTGCTAATGATTTCTTATTTATATATAACTAACTATTTCATTATATAATTAATAAATATTGCAGAATAGCATATATTATATTGCAAAATGTGCAGTATAGCATCCTAACTGGAAATTATATATTTGGCATTATTTTTAAGTATACTCTGAATGGAAGAAGAGGGAAGAAAAAAGTGTTTTGTCGTTAACCCAAGAGGGAGAAAAACTCAAAATTCTAATAATTATACATTTTCATTTGACTGCGATGCTGTGACAGATCAAATATTCTCATATCCAAGTGATTACAGAATATCTTATACAGAAGAGTATATAAACAGGCAAATTCTCTCTATGTCCCTATGGTCTATAATAGCAGTGAATTTGCTAGAGATAGAGAGATCATCTAAAGTGCTTGACATGTGCTGTGCCCCTGGTATGAAACTAGTATATTCTGGACTATTGTTAGACAGTGCAAATTATAATAACAGCACGAAAACAGGATCCATAACTGGCATAGATATTTCACGATCAAGGCTAAGTATAGCTAAATCACTTGTGTTGAAATATAAAGTACCAAATGTACGGCTTGTGCTTGGAGACACGTCTTGTTTTACTAGTCCACCAATCATACCTGCATCGCTGGATAAGGTAAGAAACAAAGAGGGTGTGTGCAGGTGCGGTGGAATATCAGAGACCCCGCCAGAAAAAGCATATTATACTAGCACTAATCTTAGAAGAATAGGGCATAGGCATATCCCACAAAAGTATGATAGAATACTTGTAGACCCAGAGTGCTCACAGACTAGCACAGTTAAGTATATGCAAGGAGACAAGCCGCCTACAAAAGACTACTCAAGGATTCAAATTAACATTCTAAGCCATGGAATAAGCTTGCTGGAAGAGAACGGAATACTTATTTACTCTACGTGTACATTTGAGGAAGAAGAAAATGAAAATGTTATTCAGCAGGTTCTAGAAAAGCATCCTCACATAGTCCGCGTACCAATTGAAGAAAGCACGCTTGCAGCATATGGTGTAAGTACAAAAAATATAAGAACCGAAAGAAGTGAGAAGTTGCCTTTTAGTGACAGTTTATTTATAGCCAAATTAAAACATAGCAGGCACATATCATAACTATAGCATAGGCACAAACTTAGAACCACATATGACACATGTGCACTACGCAGATCGCCCCCAGTGCTGTTCCTATTATAATTGATATGCATCCTCCTATTAACTTACCTTTTTTCTCCATTTTACAATGATAATTTCAGATCTATTTATATCTTGTGTTTCGAATGGTCCAATTGCAACAAAAAAAAGTAACAAATAACTATATTTTTAGGTTAAAGTGATTTGTTAAGTATAAAACATTACTTGTATGGAGTTTTATATAAAATAATTGGGCAATCATATTGCAATCCTGTTTCTAAATGTTTTTGAATTTGAGGGTGAGCCTGGGCTCAAGAAGACCCTCTATAGTATCTCTTTTAAAAATTAAAATTGAAAATACATGCAATTTACAAAGAAACTATATTTATTACGAATAATTCAACGCATAATCCTAAATAAAGTGCTTTTTTGTTGGAGGGAATAGACTGCAAGCGGCCTGGGCTATAATTTAATCAGGGGGGTGACTGTCTATTTATATAGCCGGATAAATAATTGAATTTCTTAAGTAAACTAGATGGCCTAAAAGTTATATTGTAGTACACTTTATTTAGCTAGAATTTCATTTTCCGTTTAGTTCCCTTGTTTAGAGGTCGGTTCACCCGATGGAGAATTTTCGTTTGAAGGATCTCCGGCTTTACCCTTACATATAAAGAATATTACACCACCTGCCACTATCAAAGCAGCGACTATGCCTGCTACAATTATTATTTTCTTTTTCTTGCTTCCATCTGCTCCTTCTGCCATGTTTTGTATAGTAAGTTCTGCTTTTATACTTTACAAAATCAGGAGGAAATAATAGATCTTATTCCAGAAACACCCTTATCTAAATAAGATTGGTTTGTTTTATGTCTTAATTGGTCTATTTACTAATCAGTATATAATTGGTTAATACCCAGAACAGTTTTATCTTTAAAAGCCAGTTGGTTAAATCTCCTTAAAATATTCAATAGCTGGGTCTTTTCTATTTTTAATACAGACCAGTCGTTCTTTAAGCTAGATACTTATTAGAGAAAGCACTAATAACAGCATGCTGCAGAAATACTTTGGTATTGAACACGAGTTAAGCTTGTTTATATTTGCTCCCATTTAGTTCCTCCTTAGTGCGTATAACTACCTATAATTTATAGCTGTAATTTATAATACGTAAATTTATAATATTAAAATTCTTCAGAAGTTCTACTGTGCTGTGCATGAATTGGCATTTTATCAGAGGTTAAAAATATTCTGCCAGCAAAATATTTTATGGCAAGTACAATAGATGACATATTCTCACCAAAGCATAGAGAAGAGCTCAAAAAATCACAGAATAAATCCAAAAAAAAGAAAGAAAAGGATTACGATGTAAGAGGCAGTGGCAAGCTTGAGCAAGACATTTTCTCCTGTGATGGATATAAAATATATACACATGAAGAATTAAACATAGGAAGGGGAGGAAATACAAGTAAGTGCCCAATTGACTGTGATTGTTGCTTTTAGTAAAATTAAATTTTATTTGGGAATGTTTTTAAATATTCACGAGTGGCCACCTCTGGGAGTTGTATTGCTAGTTTCGTCTTTGGGAATGGTTTCTGGCTATCTTATTCTGCGATTTATAAATACATACGTGAGGAATAAAGAATAAGTCAACAAAAGAAGTTATTGTGTTTACGGTGTGGACATCCATATTCTGCTTAATTCTTTCTTGGGCATGCGTGTTTATGGGGCAGGCAAGGCCAATGATATCCCCAGAAGTTAAAAAATAAATAGCAAACTAAAATTATATCCCATGAATATAGAAGCAATTATAGAAAAAGAGAAAGAGCTAAGAAGTGCTCTTCTGAAAGAAGACAGAGAGATACTTATGGAGTTGGGGAAGTATTTAGAATCAGTAGTTGTGTATCTGGAGAGTAAGGAGGAGGTATCTCCAGAGGAACTGCAGGATGAAATAAAAACAGAAAAGGATATACATAAAAGAGCATCGGATATCTTCCAAAAAGCAACAAATAAAGAGGATGTGGAAGAAGATGTAAACGAATTAATTGATATTGTAAACTCACTTATAAAAAAGTAGACGTGCAATATATCTGAGGCATCTCGAAGAGCAGTAAATACTATACAGAGCGCTGTATATTCTCTATAATAAAGTATCTCTATATAAGACAGTAATTTTATTTTATTTGTAATATTTGACTGGCTATATATCGCATGGTATATTACGAAAGTATTGTGCAACTTAGTACGAAATATTACCTAATTTTATATTAATTAATTTAAGGTGTATACATTATGTGCCGGATTTTTGTTTGCATGTATCTATAAATAGGCATTAGCCGCTTATTTGCTTATTCTTCTGTGGTTTTATTGGCTGCTGCTTCAATCGCCTTATTGGCTGAATGGCTCTATATAGCATGATGAATACTGCACAGGATGGTTTGCTTAGTTGGCATATTTTACTATAAAAGAACATATTCTGCAGGAGATTTAGTCACAGGATATATCTCCCTTCAGATACCAAGTGTAGTATCCATTGAGAGCATTATACTTACTATAGATAAAGAATCAGAAATTAGAGTGGCAGATATAAACAGAGCCATTTCAAATGAAAAAGCGATTAGACATCTTGGCAGATTTATTATATATGGAGACAAAGCCAGAAAGATGCTTCCTGGGGTGCACAAGTTTCCATTTAGCTTTAGACTTGTTTCAGATGAAGGGGCTACCATTGAGTATAAGAAAGCAACTCAGAACAAAAATATTTATGCCTTAAACAGGTATATAAGCAAGTGTGAAGTAAAAATATATGGAATTTTTAAGCCAGTAGCCAAGTACACCAAGGAAATCCATCTTATTGAGTCAGCATCCGATAGCATTAAGAAGATTAACTATACACACCAAATAAACAATTGTCTGTGCTTTGGAAACTCATCGGTTGAACTATTAATAAAACACGATTCTGTTCTTTATGCTGGAAAGACGCATGCCCTAGAAATGTCCACCACTAATGGTGAGAATATAGCTAAAATATCATGCGACTTGGAAATGAGCCTATACTCCTTCACAGATATGATAAACCCGATTAAACTGGTGTTTCCGTGCAAGGCAACAAAGAAGGACGGTGCTGTGCATCTGCAGATTGATGAGTCCCTTCCCTCTGAGACATCTAGAAATGACTTTTTTTCAATTTCTTACAATATAGTAATTAGTGTAACAATAAAAGGAGAAGGAACAACCGAGATAATAAGGCCTATTTCAGTCCGAGGAAAGGAATCGTACGGTGAATATACTCCTCCCGAGATTCCTGAAAGCTCTATCTATCCTGAAAAGTATCTTTCATTCCACTGTTAAATAAAATGGAATTAAAACTTTTATTTATGCATGAAAATGTGTATGAGACAAGTATTCCGGCAGAAAATATTTTACACGGATTGGCCCCGCCGTTAAATAAAGATATTATTCTTAAGGCGCTTAAGAGGGACCAAGACAAAGTGCTAAACCCAAGGATCGAACCATTCACAAGTGTCACAAATGCATATGACTCACTTATTCCATACCACATATTCATATCCCCAACATATGACGATTTAATATATAGCAGTGTAAATAGGGTGCCGGATATACAGGACATGACAGAGACACTTGATAGCTTAACTAAAATTCTTTGCACAGAAGAAGACTCGTTTAATGAGCTAACTGTGATGGAGGAAAGATTAAAAGTAGAAGAGGAAAGGTACTATCTCAACAAGACAATAAACTATAAAGAAACAAAGATAAAAGAGATTAAACAGAGATTTATCCGGTAAAAACAAAGCAAATAACAAAGCAATAAGTGTTTTATGCTAGAATTAGTCAGGTTAAATTATTTTGGAAAGAAAATAAAAGTAGGAAAGCATATTTAAGATGATGGCATTTTGTGTTTTAGAGTATTTTGTGGTTTTTATCTGTTTAATTCGTTTAGTTCTCTGTATAGACCTCTGATTAATTATGGGCATGTATCTAATTGATTGATTGATATTTTATGCCAACAATTTATTCTTTGCAGTGTATAGTAAAATGAATTCTATGTAAAAATACTTTCTGTACAGTTTTACTATAGGAATATTTCAGTATAATTTCGGGCTATATCTGGATGTTAGAGCTGTTTTTTGTTGTGTAGTAGCAATTTCTTATAGATAAATATAAGGTATTTGCTGTTTTTGTGATATAATCCATTTGTTTTATTGAATTTTCTGTGTGTTTCCACTGAAATAACGGACTTTATAAATATGGATATTTAAAAAATTTACTAATGAACAAAGGAATAGAAATACTAGAAGAGACAATCTTTAAAACATCGGCAGAGACACTTCTCCACGAGTTCACTTTGATAAAGAAGGACTCATCTAAAGAGCCCACTTCATTAATTGCTGTGGACGGCAATGGGAATAAAACAATCCTTTGCACACTTGTTCCGGGCGTTAATGAAGCTATTGTGGCAAATACAATTCTTCAGCCAGGCGAGAATTTCAAGCTATCAACTACAACGCAGAATGCAATACACATTTCTTATTTAGAAAGTGAATATGAAAAAAGTCCTTGCGGGAGTACTTCTTTAGTTACATTACGAATTAAAGAAAACGAAAAGGTTTTAGTCACCGGCCCAACTGTGTACACTCTGGTGTCAATAGCTTCCTGCGACTCTGAAAGACTTTCACTCTGCCTTTTAGTGAATGGAGAGGAGGTAACTCTGGCAAATCTTGTGCCAAACCGAATTGAAACAGCAGAAATCTCTTTAGAAACCTTTGAAGATGAGGAGCTACAGCTATTCATTGTAGGAAAGGGTGAAGTTGAGCTAATTGGGTACGTATCGCCTGAAGAGGATCATGAAGAGGTGTCTGATGAAGAAAAGTGCTACGAATGTGGGCATTTCTTTGAAGAATGCGCCTGCGATAGTGAGGAATACACTGATGCATCAGAAGAAAGCGAAGAAATTAACGATAACGAGTTTCTGTCTGACGAAAAGATGGAGCAGTTCTTAGGAGTAAGTCCAGCGGCAAAGAAAAAGTCATCAAATAAACCGCAGGAAGAAGACCCAGCACCTAAGGAAAAAAACTATCAAAGGAAGAGAAGAAACTTGCTGAAAGAGAAAGAGACTTAAAAGAAATAAAGATAGTAGACGTGGTTAAGTCCAAAAACAAACAGGTGGCAAGGAAGACAGACAAAGTAAAGATTAAGTATACGCTATTTGTGAATAATAAAATGGTCGATAAAAACAAGTCATCCGGTCTTGTCTTTAGAATGGGTGATGGTCAAATTATTAGAGGATTAGAGCTGGGAATAGAAGGAATGCGCGTTGGAGGCAAAAGAACAATTACAGTTCCTCCCCGCCTAGGATATGGATCTACAAGAGTGGGTGCGATTCCTCCAAATTCACTGCTTGTTTTCCAAGTTGAGCTGTGCAGCATTCTAAAATAATAAATCCTTATTTATGTTTAATATAATGAGCTATGTTTATACTCCTACATTGCTTATTTAAGCATACTCATAATACTTATTCAGGAAATATTTTAAATATTTGTTATTCTATTAAGTATATGTTAGGCGCGCTCCTTTAAATCACAATGATATAATTTAAATACCAAAAAATAGATTTTAACGCTATATAATGTGAATGTATGCTTCTTTCTTCTCTTACTGCTTTAAAAGACCCAAGACTGCTTTAAATCAAAGTACTATTGTCCTACTAAATTAATTGCTTCTACTGTGATATTTGTTTATACAGAATAGGTGTGCCATGTATAGTTTATATTATTAAGATCGTGCGTAATAAATTGTTGAATGTTTTTATAGTTTAAATATTATATGTTTTTATCTTGCGCTACTTATTTATATGCATATGCCTAGGTGGCCTGTTGTATTTATAATTGCTGCTGTTTAATTTTCAGTGAATTTAATTCTTAAAGCAAACAAACCCTTCCATTTAAATAATTATTGCAATAAAATATATACACTTTCTGTTTTCATGTATAAACATAGAATAAAAACGATAAATACCCTATACAACAGCAAAATCAATTGAGCAATGATGAACACAAAAATCAAAGAAGTATAGCTTATATTGCCAATGTTCCCACTGTTTTTATATGCTCAATGTGTATATAGCGAGAAATATTATAACTAGAAGAAGAAAAAAGTATTTTATAATGTGAACTATGCATAATTTATTAAAAATAAAACATTATTTATGCCTTACAAATAATGAAAATAGGTATAGCTATAAATTATACAAAAAGAATATTAACCATTAAAGAACCCATATAATTTAGCATATTAACCAAGCCAACTATATTTAAATCTGTATGCATTATATTTTGGTTAATAAATTTACATAATTTATTCTATTTTGCAATTTATTTAGACTATGCTCTAAGTTATGTCAGCAGTGTTTCATTATTAGATAATTCGGGTTAGAATAATAATCAGATACGTGCCAAGAGATTTATATAGGTGTTTTATCTACATAATAAAATAAACAATGCCATAATGTTTTGTCTGTGAAGTGAACAGAATAAGTGGTTATACGGATAAAGAAAAATAGAAAGTATAAATTTATTTATGCTCTGTCATAAGCAACTACTTTGCAGGTTGGCTCACTGTGTGGGATTCTCTTGTCAAACAGTGGGTATCTTGGGTTGGTTGCAATTTGTAAAAGCTCTTTGCTAGTGATGTCCTTTGTGGGAATTTCAGTTACTTCAATAATTCCAACAGTTTCTGGTCTTACACTGTGTCTGCTTCTAAGGTCCTGCCATAAGTTAAATACAGCTTCTGCTCTGCAGAGTGCTCTAATCTCCTTGTGAACATTCACTGTCTTTCTCTTAATGATGTATGCTGCTCTGACACCAAAAGTTCTTACTTTCCCGTCGTTGTGCTGTGGTACTTCTTCCATCTTTAAGACTACACCGTTTGAAAGTTTTATCTTGTACTGCTTTCTTAATAAGCTGAATGTTTTGCTTCTGGCAATGATCTCATTCTGTGCAAAAACATTGTTTGAGAAGATCTGTGGGACTGGGTTAGCAGCCGTTGGCTTCTCAGAGGCAAGTACTTTGTATTCTTTTATATGCATGGTGGTAATAAAAAAAAATAATTTTTATTCTTTCAACTATTTGTTTCCGTTATTTAGAATAATAATCTCTACAATTTCTTTTAGTCTATTTGTACATGCGGATGCCAATTAGTGCACATCACACACTGCTCAGTCTGCCATGTCAGATGGCGATAGTGATCTTATCTGGGATTTTAACTGAGCTATTTCCAGCTGCATAATTCTTTTCTCTCTCTCATTTGCTTTCTTTAGTCTGTCTATTTCTAGTGCCATGGAAATATTGGTTTCGTTAATATACTTGCTGTTCTTAAGCTGTTCTATTTGAGCTCTCTGCTGCTGTATTATAGCATCGCCCTCTGCCAGGTGCTCTAAAAGAATTACTGCATCTGGCGCTGGCTTAAGACTTTGCGAGATGTGCTCTTCCTGTTTAAGCAAATATTGGACAGAATTGGACAGAAGAGAAAGCTTATCCACGCTTTCTTCCTTCTCTCTTCTGATTTCTTTAAGAATAGAATTCAAAGTGCTCAGCCGTATCTGCTGGCTATTCAGTGATAAGCTCGCCTGTTGGCAAATATTAAACACTAGTGAATTTACCTGGTTGATGCCTTCTTTAATGTCTCTAATCTGATTTTTAGCCAGGTCTAATACGCTAGTTATCTCTTTCATCTTTATATATGATACTTTTGAGTCTTTTGATTCTTTCCTTACTTGCGGCTTCTGGGTGGGCTTGATTTCTATGTTTCTGGCCCTGCTTGCTAGTGAAAGAGTAGAAATAGTCTCATCAATACAGCTAGGCGTGGGCGAAATAGCACAAATCAGAACCGTCTTTGAAGAACCAGAAAAAGAAGGCTGAAGCAATCTGGTTAGTTTGGCATCTCGATAAGGAATATGTGCTTGCTTTTTGGAAAGTTTTGAAATAACGCTCGTTAGAGCCAAAAGGCTTTTGTTAATGCATGCGCCCTCTTTAAGTGTAGTGCCAGAGGTACGCGCAGAGCTGACCCTCTCTGACCCAGCAAGGTCAACAAAAACCAAAGAAGACCGCACTCCTTTTAGCCTAATTGTAAGCTTTAAAACTGCATGACTCCGACTGCTTTCCCTATTCATTCTGGTTGCAGAGACTTTTCTAATTGAATTTCCCTTTCTGAATAGTTCTGCAGCCTCGTTCTTTGTAAACACTTCTATCTCAGAAACATCTTTAATGTATACATCCCCATCTGCAGACTCTCGTATCTGAAGTGGTTCGGACGGATCGCCTAGTAAATCGTATATGTTCTCATTGTACACTTCAACATATGACAGGCTTATTCTGTGCTGAGTTTTTTTACTAAATATCCAATTAAGTGATTTAGGAATTATACCAGGATCAGAAACACATCCTGTCCCATTTCTTGCCATGTTCATAGAACTGTGTACATTCTCATTTCTGTTCTCACTTGGCTCTGCATAGTAGTTCTCTGGCAGGATTCCCTTCATTGTATGGGTTTTCCCAGAAGACGTCTGGCCATACGCAATTACGCACACGTTTACACCATACAGAGACTCATCTACTGTACTGTTTATATGAGTAAATAGATCTTCATTTTTTGACTCCTCATCAAAAACCCAATCAAATAGTAGAGTCTGCGCGGATACTTCCTGTCCATAGCTGTTTAAGTGCTGGATAATGCCTCTATCTCCCAGCTTGTACCACCCCTGCTTTACCCCGGTGCTCTTCTCTTCGGGCGATAAAGGGCGTATTCGTATAAGTGCTTCTACTTTGTTCATAAAAAACTAATTGTAAAATTACTTTACACTCTTTTCTTAACATATAAGAAATATTATGACATAAAAACAGAAATAGCATATAATTAATACTAAGTTAAGAAATAATACATGTAATTAGACAGGTTTCTACCCATAGAACACCATGAAGCCCAAAATAGTCTTCAAATTCCCATTTAGAACATATACCAAACCATAATGCTCCATTAGTAAATAGTAAAAACAAATTACACCCCAAACACCGCACAACACACTCAAATATAATCTAAATGCTCTAAATACTTCATAATTCTCTGATATACACATAACAACCTTTACTCATAGAAGTATAAATACAGGTAAATATTCTTTAATTCTTAGTATACCCAGACTCTAGTCATAAAAGTTTATAAGATCTTTTACTGCCCATTTCTCATATGTATTATCTGGAAGCCGCCTTAATACAATTAAAGGTGTTTTTTTCTCTTTTAATTCTTTCTTTGCTATTTCCACAGGATCTGTCTCATCCCCATACTCTACCATAATTGGTGCTGACATACTTATCTGCTGCGCACGTATTCCTAGAATCTTTGCCCGCTCAAATTTTGTCATAATTGGCGAAGTAAATCTTTTTTCTGCTTCTATCTCTGGCTCTTTATTTCCCATGTCATTCTCTGCGGTTTCTAGTAGAATTTCTTCGTTGTTTTCTTCAAATGTTTTATCATCACTCCCATAACTTTCTCTGCTCTCTTGGTCTGACATAGTAAATTTTTCAAGATTTCATTTATTTTTATGAGTGTTGGGAGTCTGCTGAATAAAGTGCAGACAGAGCAAATACAAGAATCAAGAGAGGCTCTGGTACAACTGGAAGAATTAATATTAGAAGGAGATACAACCCATATATTCAAAGAATTCTGCGAGTGCACCAGCATAATAATAGGATGTAAAAAGGGAGACCTCCCAAAGAGCCTGCTTCAGTTTATGAATGAGCTAATGAAAAGGCTAAAACACGCAAAAACAGGAAGAAATTTTATGCACAACTTAATAAAGTATCTGGTGCGGGGTATAGATTCAAAATTAAAACATGTGCGGTATAATAGTCTTTCGCTTCTTTGGAGCTGTATGGAGCACTTAGATAGTGTTAGTCCTAGGCTGTGGGAAATAGTAAAGGTAAAAATAGGAGAGAAACTATTTGATAAAGAAGTAAATGTAAGAACACAGGCAGTTAGAATAGCAGCGAAGTATCAGGAAACAGCGATTGAAAATGGGCTACAGTTCTACAAGCTATTCAAAGACTTACTTAGGTATGATTCGTCAGCAGAAGTACGCAAGTTAGTACTGCAGTATATTGTGGTAAATAAAAGCACAATCGAGGCAATAATTAGCAGGGCTGCGGATGTAAGCGAAGGTGTTCGGATGGTTTTTGTGATGAGCAAGCTTTCTCTTATACCATGGGAGGACGGTCTTTCACTTGAGCAAAGGTCTGGATTACTACAAGCATTAGAGGAGGAAAGAGTGCCGGAAATAAGAAAAAAGTCGATTGAAAGAATTGAAGTGATTTTTGAGGAGGTTTTTCTGGGGAAGTATGAGATGTTCACAAATGCATTCTATCTGGAAAACAGAAACAACAAATCTTTGGAGAGAATTTTAAAGGAACTAATGAAGAGATATGAATATGCAGATGGTTTTACAGAAGAGTTTCTAGAAAGAGCTACACCATCTCTTTTATTTCTTATGTGGGTGTCACTTGAGCACATAGACAGAGATAGGGGAAGAGATAATTTATTTCTACCAGAGATGCCAGTTCTTTTAAAGTCTATTGCTGATGCGTCCTGTTCTGTTGATAGCAGCGATCAGTATGAAGGTACTCTGGCCCATGCACTATTTGCTCTTTTAGAGTACTACGATGTATTTCAGAGCAATGAAAGAAATCTTCTGATAAAGTGCGGATTATACATTCTGTCGCAGCCAGCGCGACTGCTGGGTGGGGTAGTAAACTCGGTGTGCCACATGATAATAAAAGCATGCAGCGGATCGCACAGCGACAAGTTCTATATAAAAGCGCTTTCGGTTGGGGAGGAAAGAACGCAGGTTTTATTCGCAGAGGCGCTTATGAAAGCCAGAGAGTTTTCTGTTGAAAGTTTTCCGTCTGTATACCAGATGATTGAGATGAAATACAGAACTGCAATATTCTCTTCTGACTTGGATATAAAAGAGTGTTGTATTAGACTTTTGGTGTTGTACGCATCTGAAATAAATAGCTGTGACGAGGCTCTTGAACAGTTGCTGGCTCTGGCAAAGCAGAATTCACAAAGTGCATTATGTGCACTAGTTGATTTGTCTGCCATTTTTAGGGAAAGACGGGATATATTCAATTTGGCTTTTGAGCTGGTAAAGACAGTAGAATTTACCCTTCAGGATAAATCAGTTACAAAAATGCTTCTGTCGGGGCTGCCCACAGAAGAACAAAGAACAGAGCTGCTAGAAAAACTGATAGTCCGGTTCTATTCTGAACAGACTAATTTAGAAGATGCCCAATACTTACATGTGTTCTTTTACGAATACTTTAGAAATAATCACTCAGTGGTATTTACTGTATACACCAAGGCAGTTTCACAGATAAAGCACTGGAAGGTATTTAACGACCAAATAGTATATTGGTTTGAAAGCCAGCAAGAAAATGCTACCACAGAAACAGACCTATTGCTTGAGGTTCTTTCTGTTGTTTTGAAAGCGCTAAGCACAAGCACAGACAAAATGCCACTAAAAGAGAAGAAAGAGATACTTCAAAGACACTTAGATTTGCTAAGCAAGGTATCTGTGCTGAAATATACACTTTCAGAGGAAGAGAAGACCCTTGCAATTGAACTATCGAGCGCACTAAGCAAACAAACAGTTAAAATACTGCCAGATAATGATGTGGTAAAGAACATCTTGTTTGATCTCATAAGCAGAGAATAATAAACCATCCGCTTCTGTAATGTATACTATGCCTCTATATTAAGATACAACCCTTATTACAAATAGCCACTCTATCTTTCTTAGCATATAAATAAAATATAACTAGACTCCCAAATTTTTCTAGTATAGTTTAAGTACAGCTAGTGCCCAAGATTTCTTTGTGTAACAAAACAAGCAGTATAGCTTTTAAATAATCACAATACTTGGGATACACTTAAATAAGTTTATAATTAAATATTTCGTGTTTTACAAGAATCTTAAGCATGTTTTAAAGGCTACAGTTTCTTTGTCTTTGTGTTTATTATGCAGCAGCATTTTAATATAAACGAATTTAGATTAATTTATTATTTACATAAATTGTTTGTATATAAAATGTTTATAATGATTAAATTAAAAGAAAAACAATCTGCTAGCTTGTGCAATATTTCCCATTTGGTTATAATTTAAAAAAATAAAATTATATATTTTAAAACTTTTGTACAAACTTAAATAGATATGGATGATAATAAACGCCCCAAAAATTCAGAATCCGAACAATTAAGTTTCAATGACCCAAATGCACCATCCACCACGCTGCCAGAAACTTTATTTTTAATCGACCCTAGCTTACAAGACCAATATTTAAAAAATAACAATATTACAGATAAGCGATATTGGACTAGTCTATTCCAAAAAATTAGTCCATTAGTTGAGCCTACAAATGATAATTTGTATTCCAAATCTGATATTGCTAGTACAAGTTATTATAATAGCCCGAATAAAAATCTGGAAGCCCCAATACCGCTCAGAAACAACCGTACAGAAACTGAAAAAGCAAATTTCTACAATGCAACAGAAAATGAACCAGGTCTTCTTCCTATGATTCCACTAAATATCAATAATGCAGAGGCTATCAATAATCAAAGACCGTCTAGAAAGCAAAAAGCTAATGATTATATTGTAGATATAAATACATGCGATAAAAAGTTCATATCACTGGATTTTACTATACATATTATTACAAGAATAGCAATTTTGTTGCTATTAGTGGCAATAATTACAATATTAATGGCAAGCATAGTAATTTTTGCTGGAGGGTACCTTGGTGTTAACGCCTCTATATATAATTTCTTTAATAAAATTGACACTAAAATTAAAAGCATCCTACATTTAATTAAAACATGGATAAAGCTCTTATTCGTGCATAATAGTAATCAGGAGTTTAATAGTGTTAATAACAGCACATATATACCACCAGCTAATTATACAAATTAAAATATTAAACTACCCCAAATATATTGAATTATATTTTTTATTCTTTGTATGTTTTCTAATTTATTGATTGTTATTAAATGTTGTTATGACGCTATATATTAATAATTAGTTTAATAAAATTTTATCTTGGTTTAATTTGTTGGCAACATTAAATGTATTTATACGCATATAGAATATTTTTAAAATGTACAGAAAAAATAATTTAATATTTTGGGTTATTTCTACTTAATGTATGGTATAAACAATATTTTATTCTTAATAAATCATGTATAGTTCAAACTTAATATATTTTTGTATATTAATATAAAATTTGAATGGTTCTTATTATAATATATCCCAGAAAAACAGAACAGGTTAATTTTTAGATACACCAACAATAACTTACAGCTTAAACAGGTTGCATTCTTATGAGAATATCAACGTGATTGTTGGACATATAATTGTTTTATAAACCAAGAGAATCAGCAATCTAAATAAAATATGCACAAAAAATCCAAATTAAGCCGCTATTTAAGGCAGCCATGTATACAGCAAGAAAAACTAGATATAGATATAGATGATCAGATTAGTGTGTCAACATCCTTACTTAAAAAGAAGAATCTTCATAAAGAGCGAATAGATGAAAATTCTATCTATATTAGTTCTTATAGCATATGCTTGCCAGAAAAACTACAAATAATTGTGGATGTTCACCAAGAATTAAACGGCACATCTATATGCACGCCGTGCATCTCATATAGGGGCAGAGTTTTAAGTGAATGCGAATTACAGGAAAATAAAGAAATTGTGGATATTCATAAAACATTAAACATAGAATCTCAAGATAAACCTCAGGCTATTTCTATAAATAAAAATGAATATAGAAATAGCTTAGACGAAAAGAATAGAATTTCAGATATTTACAGAGAAATAAATAAAGAATTTGGATATAATCCATATATTTCCACCACCAGCAACGGTTTATCAGCATATGGATCCATTTCGCTGTGCAATAGAGAATTACAAGCAAGTTGTCATTGCGTAAGCAAAAATTTCATATCTGAAGAGTTAATTAATGAAATTGAACCAGTATGTTATACGCATATAGATGATGAACGGCTCTACTTCAATGAATCGGTTAAGAACAAAAAGAAATCCCAAAAAAACGACAATGAACTGAATTTGCACAATAATTTCAAATATAGATCATATGGTGGCAAGCAGGCATATACTTTTGTTCTAGCAAGACTCTTTGTGATATTTCTTATTCTTATAGTAGCCACAGTAATTACGCTCATTATACTGTATGCTAGTAATCAAGGGGCTTTTTTAAAAGTACTTTAAAATATTGGAGTTGGATTTGCAGTGTTTAATATTTTAATTTTTTTAAATAGATAAGAAATGAACAACAGCACGGAAGCCCCCTATTCTACAGAGATAATAGATGCTCGCAATCACAAATGGCTGCGATTTTATGGAATAACCATTCAGGAGTATCAAAAAAATGTTAAAAATGGGTGGAAAAGCCGTCTTTTTATACAGCAGGGAATAACACCTATATTTACAAAAATAGAGCACTACCTAAAAGAGAATAAAATAGCCCAAGGTGAGATTTTTTCTTTTGAAACAGTCCATCCAGTATTCAGAACATATTTTAAAAAATTATACAATAATATACCATATAGGCAAAGAGCAAAGTTTAACAAGCCTGAATTCTATAACTTTAAGGCACATCCCAATTTCCACTTTTTTATAACAAGCATAAATGCAGTAATGAAACCAATAATGGGCTATATATTGTGTATTTTACTACTAATATTTCTCAAAGAGTTAATTTTAGGAGGTTTTTCCATGTCAATGAAGTATATTTATTCTGAATAGAATAATGCCGATTTCTTATAACAATATTTCAGTATTGGGTATATTGTATATATATAATTGAAAGACAAATTATTATTAAATCCTATATTAATATAATATATTCTACTTGTATTATTTAAACTTAGCACTTTTTATATTTTTATAATACTTCTTTAAATATATTTATTATAGTAATAGAATTTTAATATAGGAGTAATTTGGATTAATTATGTAATTATAGTTTAATTCATTTAAAAAACATTAATAATAAAGAATGTGTAGTGAGAATAGAAGAGAAAAATTGTAAAAACATAAAAATTACAGGATTTGCTGTTTATTCTGAAATTACAAATACTTTAGTTACAGTTTTTTGTAATACGCCTGGGTTGGCATCGACTGTTTTTAAGTATATATAGCTACCAATGTTGATTTTGGTTGCCTCTGTTTTACCATCCTCTGACTTTGACTCAAAAAGCACTGTCTGTACCATTTTAGAAAGCACTTTATCTGCTGGGATATTGTCCTTCTCTAGTTCTTCAGTTACTTTATGGATAAGACTTAATTCACTCTCAGTCATCGTATGCTTGCCTATTGAATTCTTAATCTCTTCAAGCTTCACATTTAATTCAAATGTATTTGCAATTTCTGCTGTATTGATGTCATCTGTAAGCATTGATTCAAGTTTATACTCTAAATCTTCTATCTGTGTATTAAAGTCAGACACATAGGAAAAGCTGTCTGTGTCAGTGCTTTCTACAGTACTTCCATTTACAGATTCTTCCTCTGTAGTAGATTTTTTCTCTTCCTCTTCTTCTTTTGAAGCAGTAGATTTGGTTTCTGTAATACTGCTGGCACATGATGTACATGTTAGTATAGGAGTTTCAACTACTTCTGCACTAACTCCAAGAATTTTACTTGCTTTGTTTAAAGACTTGATTATTATTCCGGAGTCTGCTTTATATCCATCAGATGAAACATCATTTGAAAGATCACTTTCCATACCGTATAGCTCAAATTTCTCCAGCTTGTACTTTCTGTCTTTTTTTCTTTTTATGTCATTCACTAGATTTTTTCTGTGTGCCTTTCTGTTTGATAAAGAAGAGTTCTTCTTTCCTTTTTTATGGTCTCCTGCAAGTACAGTTCCCATGAATGAAATACAAAGTACCATTAAAAATAATTTCATACCCTGAGAATGATTTGGTTTATTTATAATTATGAATTTAATGTGTCCTAATAAGGAAAAAGGTACAGGTTATGTTCTAGAAGGGTCTTTTCTGCGTCTGGGCTTTTTTGTAATATTTCTTCTATATTAATATGAATGTTAATGTTGCCCTTTTCGGCCAAGTAGGCAAACAATTTGTTGTTTTCTAGTCGTAAACTATACACCGCGTACTCTTTTTCATTTTTTCCTACCCTTACATGTGGTCCCAGTTCCTGAATTCTTTCCTGTGAGAGTAGCTTAGAAATAATTGATAGAAAACCGTCTAAATACTCCAGAGAAATGGCTGCGCTGTGCAGACCTCCTGCTATTTTTGGAATATTTTTCAGTGCTTGCTCTACCTTTTCTGCTTTTTTATGCCAATAAACCTCTATGTGCCGGGTAACTCGGTATAAAATGGATGTATTACAAGTGTTCTTTAACTGCCCGCCTAGCATATTGTGCAATGGTATAGTTGTAACTAATCCAGGATACATCAGTATACGATGCATGTCAAAAAAGAGGAAAAGGCTTTCTTTTATTCTCTGATTAAGAATAGAAGCAGCCCAAAGAGCTACAGCATAATTTGCAGAGGTACATAAGATCTTGCCGTTCGCATATTTTATAGCAAAATTGATCTTTCCCTTAAACAGAAGGTACTTATTTTTTTCTAGTCTGCCTTCTATGCCTATTTTCTTGTGCAGGCTAGGCAGGATAGCTCTAGTTGATGTGAGTCCTTTTGCTACAACAGCAAGCCAGGTGATCTTTATTATATCGTTTGTGCTTAGATAATCTTCTATACCTACCCGCTTAGAAACAATCTTAGTAAATAGTTTTTGTCCTGTTGATCCGCCTAATTTTAAAATAACAGTTTTAAATAAAATTAGCTTGAACGAGGTGCATAGTGTAATTCTGTAATCATCTCTAGATTTGGCACTGTGCTTTCCTTTCAGCCTGACTGCATGATATAAAGACACTGCTGTAAGCAGGTGTTTTGGATTCTGCAGAATATAGTTAATAAGATGCGTCGAGCTGTACATAGTATCTAAGAATAAATTCTCATTTGGTGTATTTGGAGTGGAGGCTCTTCCAATATAATTTTCTCGCTCTGAAAAACTAATTGGCCCAGAATAATGTTCTCTCGGCATATGGCTGTCTTGCATTGATCTCTCATCAGAGCTTTCTTCATAATCGCTATCACAAACCTCATTATGGATGCTAGTATACATAGTGCTTTGTCTGCGCGGCTCTTCTATAGGAGCCGTAGAATACCGAATAAGCATTTCGGTTCCTACCAGTAGTGAGCCTGTTTGGTATATTCCATAGAATATCCGCGCGCCTTTTTTCTCTGTTTCCCAGTGTAACCCTACAAAAACAGAAGTGTCCATTCTCATAAGCACATTTAGCTGCACAATGGTTCCATTGCACAAAATATTTATCTTTTCTTTAGTGATTACTCCTGGTGCAGCTATTCTATTTAGACTTTTCTCTAGGAGTGCTTCTTTTTGCAGATCTCTCATAGTAAACATAAGCCTATCTTTATAGAAAAGACCCTTCTCAAAGTTAATGTATGCATGCTCTGAAACGCTTTTTTGCAGATGGCTATTAATTATCTCAAATCCTTTGTTTATGAAGTCTGACTTAAGTATTTCTCGTGTGTTTTTGTACGTGACCTGGCAGATGATAGAAGGACCGTCCCAGTTGACATCTATTTTAAAGAATATCTTGAATACTCCTAGAATGGTCAAAACAAAGTTCTTTGTTGTGCCGCTAATTTCCATATCAAATATCTTATTCTCTATTCTGCTTCGAAGTACTCTAGAGATTTCTTCTATCTTTATAACAGAATCCGTGTATTTTGTCATATCTACAATCTCTTTAATAGTGTTCTTAAATACAATGCCCTTTATAGGAATGTTTTTTGTATCGTCTGTATGTTTTATGCTTAAAACACTCCAGCTGTATATATTGTTAGTTATTGACAAAATAAGAGTGCTTTTAAACCCGTATGAAGTCAGCTCAACCACCCCATTCCGCACAGTATAAAATACATTTTCATCTGTCCAAATGCCAGACCGTTTAATATGAAGCACCAATAACTGATCAAGTCTTGTATAGTCTACAGACTTATCAGACCTTTCATTCATTGGATTGCTTCCTGCATTGCCAAAACGGCTTTCTTTTTCTTTGGTTAGCTCGTTTGCGAGCCTTATAATCTCTGATGGAAAATCGCTCCTTCCACTTAGCAAAACCTTAAATGCCCGGGGTATGTCGTAAGATGAAGACGCTTGCAGCTTTAAATCATTGCAAAGATACACCAATTTGTCTGCAAGCTCTTCCTGTTCTGTGTTATACTTATGTAGCCTTAGTACCTTTCTTTCTAAATTATTTATATGATGGCCGTGCTTTACTGAAAGTAGCATAGTCACTATCTTAATCAGCTCATTAGTCTCTTTTATATACAGTCTGATTATTTTTCGCCTTCTTTCTTGTTCTTTTACATCTTCAATAGTTATTAAATATATGAGGTTCAATAAATACTTCATTTTATTTAATATGATAGTATTTATGTTTATTCTCTTGGGCTCTCTCTCATTCAATATGGCTGTTGATAGTTGGACAGTTAAACTTTCTCTTTTCTGAGATAATTGAACTTTCACTTTCATACCAGAAAAAAAAAGTCTATGTTTATAAAATAATTGGCCGAATGCTGATACAATGTAAGAGGGACTAATAGATATAATAAAGAAATCTACAAAATATCCAAAGAATGAACAAAAATAAGAACAAAAAAATTACAAAGCTAGAAACGCCGCCAAATAAAAGAAATCAGAATAAATCTGCGCAGAATAAGCAATTACATGGTAAAGGCCGCGCAAAAGAGTCTATTGATAGCAACAATGAAAGTACACATAATAATGCAAGTAGTAATGAAGTAAGTGAAGAAAGCAGTGATCCTGCAAGTGACAGTGCTGAAGCAAGCAATGATAGTAGTAATGAAGATAGTAATAGTGATCATGTAAGTGACAGTGCTGAAGCAAGCAATGATGGTAGTAATGAAGATAGTAATAGTGAGCATGTAAGTGACTCAGTAAGTGATAGTACTGAAATAAGCAGTGAGCCAATAAGTGATAGTGGCTCTGTGAATGATGAAGTAGGTGATAATATTGAATCTGTGAGCAATGATGACAGTAACAATGATGATAGCAAAGATAGCGACCATAGTGAAGAGCCCAAGAAGAAGTCAGATAAAAACAATAGCTCAAAAAGTACTAGCAAAGATACAATGCCTAGTAAGAAAAAAGCTTCAAACAATAAACTAGATGATCAAGCAGAAAAAGACTCCATAAGTGATAATAGTACAGAGAAGACTAATAAGAAAAAAAGCAAAAATGACTCTAAAAATGAAAAACTATCTACTAAGGATAAATCTAACAAGGCATCTAAAAATCCTGCAGAAAAGTCTAAAGATGAAAATAGTAAAACTAGTACTAAAAAATCAGACAAGGGCAGCAGTAAAGATAAGAACAAAAAATCAGACAATGAAAAAGACAAAGAAAGCAGTAATAAAGACAAGAATAAAAAAGACGGTAGAAAAGATGGAAAAGCCAGTAAAGATGCCAAATCCTCTAAGGATGCCCCAGAAGATGAGGCGAATAAAGCAAAAATAGTAAAAAATGAGAAAGAATTCAAACTAAATGATAAAGAAGGAGGACATCTGGTTAATGAAAAAATCAAGCAAATCAATGAGAATCGTCTTAAGGGAAAAGAAAGTGTGGAGAAAAACAAGAAGTCTGTATTTATATCGATCCGAAATAATTCTGAGAATGGCACCATAAAAACAATTTCAGATGATTTTCTTAGAAAAAAGGACAAGCAATTTGGGACAACCCTTCTAGAGAAGTCAAAGAGCAAATTCCAAATTGACTTTAAGGAATTAGAAAAAGAAAAAAAAGAAAATGCTATAAGGGAAAGCCTTAAAAGAGTCTCGAGGGCAGACCAGATAATTCAGAAGATTTCTTTGTACTACTGTCGGAATAAAAACTTTGTTGCAACAGCAGACCAGCTCATTCGCACTCTAAAAAAACTAAGTCCCCAAACTATTCAGAAAGTATTTTTAGATGTTCTACACAGAGCAGAAAGTCCATATATCGCGCTCTTTATACTGAGAAAGATGAAAGATGTTCCGCCTTTTTTGTCTGATGAGTGTGTTGTTCAGCTGTCTTTATTTGTTAGATCGTTTCGAATTATGTACTTGGATACTATTCCATACTCTCAGATTATCAAAGATCTCTTTGAGAGGTGTATTCTTTCAGATGTGACAGTCGAGCACTCGTACGACCTGCTGTCTCAAATTGAGCAGGATAAAAGCATTCGCAATTTGTTTATAGAACTGTTTGGAAGAGTGCACATTGTAAATTATTATAAGGAATTGTGTGCCGGGCTGTTTGTTCGAAATATACACCGCAGTGTTCTATACTCTGTTATGTTTACGATAAATGACATGCATCTAACAGCAGAAGGGCTTTCTCCAGCATTCAATATGATAGGCAAGTATATAGAAAAAGAAACAATTGAAAAAAATTCAGTTGTGTTTGCACGCGCTTTTTGGGCATTTCTTAAGGTGCATATGAGTGGTTTCAATGAGAGATTTAATGATGCAATTAAATACATAAGATACTTCTCTGATTCATTTACAAGCACCTCCTGCGAGATATTTTCTATTGCAGATGCACTAGAGATTGTGGATACAATTGAAATTTTGGCAAATTCAATTATAAATCGAACGATAGTCAGTGGGGAAGCCGGAACAAACAAAAAGCCGTCCGATATCAAGAATTATGTTCAAAAGAAGGAGCTTAAAAGCAAGGATAAGGTAAAAATCGTTCCAGAAATGGAGAATGTTAAGTACTCTGATGAAGAATCTGACTCAGATGAAAGCTCTAAAACAAATGATGACTCTGAAAAGGGCGAGGACTCTCTTGCAGACCAAGGCCACAGGCTTGATAACGTAAAGATAACCCAAGAGAGCCTTTTAGTATTTATTACAATGCTTAACACCGAGTACAAATCTACATACAAGAAGGTGAAGGAGGCAATTCAGTGGAAAAAAAGGATAACATATGATACTCTTTTATATGCATTGGCGCATATAAAATTACTTCATCTGCTGCTGTATCTATCAAGGCTGTCTGGATCCGTTGAGCTGCCAATCAAGGAACACTATAATCTGTTTTCAAGTATTAACATCCCAGCAACCTTTGATGGAAAGCAGTACGACGGCACACAAGAACTAGCTGATCGAATATTCTCTGAAAAGTGGAACTCTCTTGGATTTCTTCTGAAAGAATCACTAATCTCCCCGAATGAATTGAATTTTTCGCAGGATATTCTACGGCATAAGTCACCGCACCAGCTATTTGAAAAAGTATCTGCAAGCGTGCACCTGTTGTCATTCCCACCAATTACAGTATTTCTTGAAAGCGACCACATCTATGATGCAATATTCCTCCAAACCCTTCCTATGTATGTTAGGCACAAAGAGTTTCTGATCACTCTTCGAAAAACTGTTCGCACGTTTATAAGTAGAGCCGAGAAAGAAGCATTGGCGCTTCTTATTCGTCGGCTTATAGAGCTTGATGGAATATACACAGAAAAAGAGGTCAGAAGCGGCAGAAAAAAACCATACGACCCCAACCATTACACTGCTGTCAAAAATGCAGTGCGAAACACCATTGCGTCGCTTTTTATAACAGAAATAGACCTTTCATCATTTAATGGTGTCAATCTTACTGCAGACAGCAGAAAAGACTATGCTTATGATGCAATCGATGTAGTTCTGCACGAGACCAAAGAGCACAATCCAGTCACAAATCAAGAAGAGTACAAGATCGCAGAGGAAATAATATTTAAGCGAACAGGCACAGACATGCACAAAGAGCTAAATAGTGCAAAAACATACCATAAATCTTCTAAAGAGGGAAAGAATGTAGATGAAAAAAGAAGAAGAATAGTATTTGACTTTATTGTCTCGATTAATGACCTGGCGCTCACTGAGAAGTTTATTAAAGCTCTTATAAAGCTACCAACAGTCACTAAGCTGGATGACAAAATGAAACTATTTATAATTAAAGTTCTAGCATATACATTGCAGAAAATCACTATAAGTGATCCTGTGGTAGGTTTAATAAAAGACTTTGCTAAAAAAGAGCTAAAAAATAGCTCCTCAGAGCTAATGGCAGATGCGGCAAAGTATCTCTATATAAAAACAAGTGCTTCTATTGAAGACAAACACACAAGCAGCAACCAAAATTATGAAAATCTGTCCTTGTCTCTGCTTATGCTTATAACCCGAAAGCAAGGAAACCTTAACACGCTAAAAAACTGTTTTTTCAAAATCTGCGCTGATTTAAAAGACTATGAAAGAAATGAGCTTTTACTTCTATTTAAAGAAGCTGGGGTAACCATATCAAATAGTTTAGAAGGCACTTCCGAGGGGTTAAGCCGATACAATGAATCTAAGAAGCTAATGGCTGGATTTCCTTCTATTGAATAATAACTAGGATTTAATAGAAAATTGACGAGAAATAAATCTTTATGTTTAAATTTAAGAATGCCTCATTACCTCCTTCTCATCGCCATATATAACCAGGACTTTCTATATAAAATAGAATGAACCCCCGTACTTTTATTTGGCATGTTGCAGTTATTTGCGTTATTTGTTGATGCATTTACTGCTCTTCTATTAATTGTTCTGTTTTTTTGTTTTCTAGTTTTCCTTTTCTGTATTTTCTATTTGTATTTTAGCCATTTTGTTTTCGTATTCATTATGTGCGAGAGTGAAGTAGTGCATGGACTAGCCATTATTGGTGAAAATGGAAATAGACTAATAGGCAGCCCTCTGGTCATATCACAGACAATTCGCGAGAAAGAGAAGAGGATGTTTGAAAAAGCAAAGGAAACAAATGAGTCAATTATTCTCTTTGAAGATAATCTTGTACTGTACAAAATAGTCGGCGACCTCTGCATTTTATTATATGCACCAATCAATGAGAATGAAATTGCACTCTCAGATGCTCTGGATGCTTTTTACACTGCAGTGATTAAGACGCTGGGTGGGCCGCTTACACAAAAATCATTGGATAAGCATTATGATGAAATGTTTCTTCTGGTTGACTCTTTCATATATAAAACAGTCATTGTCACTGATAGCTCAACCGATCTTATAAACTCACTTCCCAAAAGAACATTTGAGGGATTGGATGCTATTCCCATGCCTTCCAAGCTTTCAAGCGCATTCAAAAAGGCACAAAAGTCATTTGCCTCTTCCTGGTTTAAAAAGTGAATAAATATACTGCTGTTTTTATACCTAGTTGTTTCTTATAAAATACTGGATTTTTATTTTTATAACTTATTTCGGGCTATTTAAGGAGTTCTTTAAATAACAGCCTTATTTTAATCTTATAAAGCTCTTGCCTCTGGATAATTGGATAGCTCGGCTTTCCTATACTCATCAATGATCTCCTGGACTGCTTCTCTCGCCGGCTCGAACTCTTCAATATATTCATCTCCTTCTTTTCTATACATGTCTAAAAAGGCATTCCTTCTCTTCAGAACATCGTATTGTGCAGATATCTTCTGAAGTGTTCGAGAGAATCCTGTAGTATTTGTTAGTAGCAGCCCGGAAATGCTCTTATTAGGCGACTTTGCAATCGCTACCTGAATGTTCGGGGGAGTCCATGGTGCAAATCTGACGGCTTCTCTCTGCCGAATTCTCTGCATGCTTTTTTCAATTTCTCCTGCATCTACCCCCATCATTATGTTAACTGCTGATATTACCCTATTTGTTTCGCTCTCTTCAAATCCTACCAACCGAGATTTAGGAAGAATAAGTCTTCTTTGTACATCTAAACATGTTATCTTTCTAACTGTGCTGGCCTCTGATTCAATAAATGGCGCATAGGAGGGCACTAGAAAATGGCACCCTGGTATTGGCGAGGCAGCAGATAAAAGTGTATTCATGTCACTAAACCTACTTCCAGGAAACCGCACCGTCACAGTGGAGGCAGCAGCCACAGAAGATGCTAGTTTGTTTGTGTGTGCTATGGTGGGTGCAGACACTTTTAGCGCATCGCCAATTGCACTAGTTAGCGATCCATTGTCCATTGCAATCACACCATCTGCACTGCCCATTAATCTTCTTAGTGTTAGAATTGTGTTATATGGCTGTACAACAGACTCGCTTACCTCTGAATTGTTTGGAAATATTGAAATCGTCTGAATTGTCTTCTTTGGGAATCTGTCTCGTATTTCCTCCAGAAGATATGACCCGAGCCCTGACCCAGTTCCTCCCCCAAGCGAGTGGAATAAAATAAACCCATCAAGAAAATTGCTGCTTTCAGCCTCTTTCTGTATAATTTCTAGAAGCGCGTCTTGGCTCTCTTTTCCCTGCTGATACCCACTTGACCAAACATTCCCAGCCCCCCTGCTTTCTGCGCCTACCCATATGTTTTCTGGGCTAAATAAATGCGGCTTGCTGCTTGTGATAGATGTAACCACTCTTGGCTCTAAATCAATAAGAATTCCCCGGGGAAAGTACCTTCCATCGTACGACTCGTAAAAAAATGTATCCTTTCTGTCTGCTGTGGTGTGCGTTAGTACTTCTCCGCTGCTTGATATCCCATGCTCACTGCACACTTTCTCCCAAAACTCATTTCCTATTTGGTTTCCGCACTGCCCCACTTGCAGAGTTATTACATTTCCCATAAAAATATTTTACTTCCTTTGTATACTTCAACACTATATATTTCTATTATAGAATATTCTAATTAAATTACATATACTATGAGATATTACATTGTCCTAGAAATGCCCTGTATGCATTACAATACCCACAACTTTTGGATATTTATCATTCTATCTTTATTCTATAGTACTTCTTTCACACCAAAATGGCCTGAAATTTACTGGACTTTTCTAATTCGTGAGCTTCTTGTGTCCTGTGTTTAGAATACTATACACATATGCTCTGAAATTCCAAGCTTTTCTTTTCGGGAATTTCAGTTTATCTGTAGTTTTATTCTTGGGAAAAAATAATGCTGCTGAGAACATATGACAGCCTTTCCAAAAGCGTGATGAAGCGTATATATGAAGTGGTTGACAGAACTATTGATAACGTGTCATTAAAGGACAATGTAATTACTATAGATATTCCCAATAAGGGTGTGTTTATACTAAACAGGCAGCCAACAAAAGAGGAAATATGGCTCTCTTCTCCAATTTCTGGCCCATACCACTTTCGGCAAAGTAGAGGCATATGGGCTGATAGGCAAGGAAATAACCTATTAAAAGTAATTTCTAAAGAGATTCTTAATAACGAATATTTACTTGAATAAGCATTTATTGTGTTTTTTTCTGTACAGTCATCCGCCTGAATATTTCATAGTAGGCAGTTACAGGAATAATTAGCATAAGAATGAATGCCTTGCGCCCGAAGAATATACCAAGTACTTCTACTGCATAGAATGTATACAGCATGTCTATGAAAATACGAATAAGCCCTCTGCCATGCAGATCCACACCACCATCCTTTATTTCAAGGCCTCTGCTGGTTTTTATGAATTTTGGGTTTACTAAGTATCCCAGGATCCCCAGTATAATGGCCTCAACTATTATAGAAGCAACTAATGGAATACTTAGGAATGTTCTTCTAAATATTCTATTTCCAATGACTGTGCATGCGCCAATCGCTACTGCACTAATTATTAGCATTCTTAAGAATTGTGTATTTCTTTTTATTCTTCTTTTTGCCGAGTCCGATGCCATTCTAAAATTGTCTCAGTAAATTTTTTATATGAAGCCTGTTCTATTTACCACCACAGGCCTTTCTTCTCTAGAAAAGAATCTTATTGCAAAGATATTCGCGGAGACTGAATATAGACTGGAGGAGACCATGACTTCAAGCACCTCTTATCTCTTGTCTAACAAAAGCACCTTTACTGAAAAAAGAATACTTGCAGAAAGGTGGGGCATTCCGGTCATTAGTATTATGTGGGTGTACAAATCGCTTAACTGTAGAAACATTCTACAGTTTAAATTAAGGAAATATGAAGGGTGTGTTTTTTGTACCTCTGGTATTACAAATGATCTGTTTATAAATTACTACAGATTGCACGGCGCATATCACTCTTCTATTCTAAATCGGTACTGTGATTTTCTTGTGGTGAATTCGCCTGACCAGGTTACAGATAAGATTATGTATGCCAAAGAATGCAATATTCCAATTATTACTGCTGAACACGTGTTTGATGATCGAGTTACATTTTTTATGAAGAATATACAATATGAGAGTTTCATTAATGAACCACTCACAGATGAAATATTCAATGGAAAGATATTCTATTTTGAAGGAGAAACTGAAATCCACAGGCTTGTACGCCGATTAATAATAGAGCATGGCGGAAATCGTGTTGAAGAGCCTGGTCCAGATGTAGATTATTCAATATATTTTGGGGGCAATGGGAAAGGCCGCAATTTTATTTGGTACCAGTGGATTCTAGACAGCGCAGAGCTAGAAACCCTTCTTTCGCCTGATGGCTATGAGGTGCATTATACGGATCTTCCTGCGCTTCCATTGGAGAATACAATTGTGCTTCCAATGGTGTGTAAAGAGGAGGGGCTTAGAACAAGAAACAAAATACAGGCACTTGGTGGTGAAGTATCTATGCAAATGAGCAGTAAAATAACACACTGCATTGTTGAGCGGAAGAGTAAGCAGCTGCAGAATAAGATGCAGGGGTATATGAAGATGTATAAAATACATGTGTGTTTTTTGGAATGGCTGAATCAGTCAATATACTACATGAAAAGGCTAAGTGAAAATAAATTTGAAATGTCTACTTCGCTTAGAACTATACCACAGATAGCCCTAGAAACAGCAAAAAAAAGAAAGACTGCTATTAAATATACTCCTAGCAATCTTGACGGGTGGAGAGTGCAGTTTACTGGACTGATTGACACCTTGAAAGAGCAAGCGATTTCTGTGCTAAAGAAAAAGGGCGTTATAGTTATAGACTCCCCAGAGTATTCCACTGAATGTACACATTTAATTGTAGGCGCTGTGAACGTATCACTGAAATTCCTATCTGCAATAGCGTGTGGTGCTATCCTTTTGGACTATCGAATTATAGATGATTTAAAGCAGAACACCTATACTGGAGAGACCAGCTACGCACTAGAAGCAAGGGATTTGAAAATAGACGCGCCTAAAAATGAAAAGGTTATTCGAAAGTTAATTTTTTCGGCGTCTGTATGGAAGGATAACAAAGAAAATAATGGGAAAAGAGCATTTTCTGGGTGGCGAGTGCATGTTTTAGCAAAAAAGGATACTGCTAAAATAGAGCAACTGATAGAGAATGGAGGGGGTGAAGTAATAAAAAGCGAAAATGCCCATGGTTTCCATAGAGATGGTTTCTATTTTGTGGATTCTTCTGTCACTGCGCCAAGTGATATTTCTTCTGCCAGAGTAATTGAAATGAAAGATATTATAACACATTTAGCACGAATAAAGCAGATCGTATAAATAAATAGATTGTTTTTTACAACATAAAATACTCACATTCCTCCTTCTTTTTATGTTTCTCTAAATCCTCTTCTTTATATTATCGGATTCAGATTGTTTCGCTTTTATGTATATGTTTTTAATATACATTCCTTGGTAGATTCTGTTTTGTGTATGTTTATATAAATGTTAATATTCTATGGTTATTTTAAACTTAATGCGTATTATTTTTATATTTCTTTATTTACTAGTGGAAGGTTTATAAAAATAAAATAATTATAATTTATGCGATTTGAATATGAAATGAAAAATGTATAAATATACAACAGAACAAACATCTAGAAAACACCTAGAAACATAGCCAAATATATAACAAAAGTGCATAAAATAGAAACACTACATGACAACAAGAATATATTAAGAATAGTTATAATAACTGTTGGTTTTGGATAGTGAGATCCAGAACAATAAACAAAATGATGGTGTTGGGAGTGCCAAAATATAAAAGTGACAGCTTTTGTGATTGGAAGTTGTCTATATAAGGACGACGTGAATTTAATAAAGAACAAGTTTTCGTATGTCTAAGTCTTTAAGGAAAAAACAGCTATAACAACAGCAGTATTTTTATTAAAGAAAATAAAAGCAATAGCAGCACATAGAAGAGCACTAATCAATATTGGCTAACCAATGAGTAAAAATAGAGAATTATAGTAAAACATCTGGCTATAATTATTTATACGCATCGAGGGCCTTTAATTATTCTTGTGATTACATTAATGTGTTCTTTGTGTAGATTACCTAAGCTGGTAAATAGCAATATACAGTGTGATTTATACCAAAAATTCAGTTTAATCTAAAAATCGTATTTCAATGATGTCGTCTATTTCTGTAGTTGACTCTTTAAGATAATTTAAAATCTTTGGAAAAATTATTTTTCCTTTATATTCCTTGTCTATTTCATATACAGTCAGCTCAGGGTCATTATTTATCTGCCTTTTTATGATCTTATTGCCATCATACAGAACTTTTCTTATAAAATCATTGCTTGGTGCTGCGTATATGAACACTTCTCGTTTATCGCGAGATTCTGAGTTAATAACGCAAAATTCATAGTTGTTTGACTCTTTAAATTCTTTTATTCCACCCAAGAACTCTTTCTTTCCATTTGATTTAATCCAATCATCATAGTGGTATTTGACAGAACTTATACTAAAAAATCTTCCTGACATATCTGGATACATGTACCTTTTATGGCGAAGCGCAACAATCACTTTAGTTGGTTTTTTATGATTAGACTTTTCGCGTAATTTTATTTTTTGGTGTATATCCATAATGGCTTCTTTACTTACATTAGTTAATGCTATTATGGCATCTAATGCAAATGCATCTAAATCATATAGCGGGCGGTCTGAAAAAGAAGAGTCTGTGATAATAGAAATGGCTAGTAGAAATATGAACATGTACCGAGCAGGTGCCGATTCTATTTTTCGCCTATAATGCATCTGTATATAGTGAAATATCAGTGTGCAGCAAGAGTGAACATTTAAGTTAATCCATAATTCATTAGCATGAAAGTGTATTTGAGACTCTTCTATAAGCTTTCTATGGTCTATAATTTTATCAACATAAAAATGCTTGATTTTAAGTAGCTCTTCTTCTGGATTGCTAAAATCCACAAGTGTTGCAGTTATTTTTAGAGACTCTAAAGCAACTTGATCATTTCCTCGGATAAAAAAAAGATCATTTTCTCTTTTTTCTAGAAACACCAAGTCATTTAAGTCTAAACCTATTTCCTTAACTATATAACACAGATCGTGCTTATGCTGAAACAATTCCCGCGATATATTTATAATCGGTAGTTTATCTTCCATTAGTGCCAAAACATAAGATCCAATAAACGAATCCTGGTCACAGCTGGTATTCCCTATTACAATTGAAAATTCTTGTTTTTCTATGCATTGATTGTATGTTTGTGTTAATTGATGTAATATTTTACATCCCTTCATAATATCTTCCAGACCTATGCGCATCTAGTTGTTTAAAACAACAAACATTATTTATATAGACCAAAATGTTCTATTAGACTCTATCTATTACATGCAAACCCACTATCAAAAAGAAATATTTACATTATATATGCCTAAATATAGAAATGTCTATATTCTACAATTTTAATATTTGTTTTTAGGCTCTTTCTGCTAATATATGGCAGTTCACCACTAATACACTAGAATGCCCATTTGAATAAAAGAGTATGCTGGATGATATAGATATAGTACATAAGTAATCTATATTGCTACAGCAGAATACAAATTTATAATTGCTAAAATATAAATATTACAGAGTACTATAGACTATTTGAATAAGCACTTTTTCGATTACTAGAAAAATAAAATCGTAACAAAGAGATATAAGATGTAAAATCGTAATTTTAATTTAATACAAGCATGCTATGATATATGTTTGCATTGCCCGCCTATTATAAAAATTGGCATGAACTTCTGCCAGATTTAATTAGTTGTTCTTATGTATAATATTTATTTTATTTTTATATCCCCGGGACTATTAGCGCCCCCTCTTCAATACATAACTGAGATGATCAGCATGCCCCTGCGCAAGGACGGCATTTTGTTTTGAGAAGTACAGGGGAAACCCTTTATTAATTAATGTCTTATGGTGATTTTTTAGTCTATTGGGTTTCAATAACTACATGTACTTTTGTGGTTGGCGCGTAATCTAGCTCAGAAATTAGTTTTGGCGTGATTACAATAGATTGTTTCTCACTTATGGATCTGTTTCCAACTAGCATGCTGTGTATTGTTCTTTCGTGGCCAGCATCCATTCCTTGGTTTATTTCATCTACTAGTAGAAAGGGGGCATTTGACAATCTTTGAATGGATAAAAGATACAGAATAATAGAAACTGCCTTCTCCCCGCCGCTATGTCTTCCTGCTGAGAGGATTTCTAACTTTCCTTCTGCTCTAAATCTTACTTTTAGAACAAGTTTCCACCTGCGGGGTAGCTCGTTGTATTCAATACTTATTTCAGATCCTATTCCAGCAGAAGAGAAAAGAGCCGATGCATTCTTATCTATACACGAAATTATCTGATCCAATTCTTCCTTTAGATTAGATTCTTTTTCATGTTTTGTTATTTCGTACTTTTCCTTATCGGCCTCTTCTTTTCTAAGAAACTTTTCCATTTGTAGAAATTGCGACTTGCACGCCTCATACTCTTCTATTGCAGAATAATCCACTATGCTAAGCTCTACCTTAGCTTTTTCCTGAGCAAGCATTGTTGTGAGTGTTTTTATACAGGAGGGAAGTGCTTTGAGCTTTTCTTTTTTTGACTGATCATTTTCCTTGGACACATGGTATGTAGAATCGGCTTCTGCCTGCTTCATGATTGCCTGATGTTTTAATTCTGAAATCTCCTGATTAAGCTTTAAAATCACAGTGTGGTGTTCCTTTAAAATCTGTTTTTCCCCAAGCACTTCTGCTTGTATTCTTTGCAGATTTTCATATTGCGATTTCATTGCCTTAGATTTCTCTGATAATTCTTCAACTGTTTTAAATAGAGCAGCCAGTTGCAGATTCTTCCATTTAAGAACTTCTTCTTTTTTTATGATTTTTATGTCATCTTCTGTGCATTTTATTTTGTTTTTGATTTCCTCACGCTCTTTTGTTATTTCCTCTGTGCGCTCTTTGTATGCTTGCAGTGCTCTTTGCATTCTTTCGTACTTTTCCTGCTCATTCACGTCGGTTTCTTTAATCTGCTTTAATTCTTTTAATCGTTTTTCAATTAGTTCTCGCTTTTTCAGAACATTCTGCCGATGCTCTGTTCTTTTTTCCCGCTCTGCAATTAACCTGTTTAGTGCTTCTTTTTTCTCCAAGCTATCGTATGGCTTGGTTAGTATGTCTATACCCTTTTGTATTGGATATATAGTGAGTGTTTCATCTTTAGTATAATGCGACCTTCTTATCTCAACCACCTTTTTGTTAGATATGATCCGACTAATTTTCTTATATCTGTTAAAAAACTCATACTCATCTGCTAATGAGAGTTTTGTTACAGGAATGCGGGAAAGCTTTGAGAAAATGTTCAGAAACTCTTTTACCGCGGAAGGTGCATCTATACAGTCCGATAAATATGTCATCTTGTACTTATCGTCAAACTGCACAAATTCACTTCCTGCTGATGCCTGCGATGAAACTATATCACTTTGCTGCTTTTGCACAACATTTATAGCAAGATTGTTTCGTTCTTTAAATTCTTGAATAAATTCATGGAAGGATTCCTTAGTGTGGCAGACAAAGCATGTAAGCGCATGAACATTCAGCTGGCTGGAAATCTCTTCAGTATACTCTTCTCTAGTTATTTTCATGGTTAGAATTGCCGGAAGGTCTACTTCCCACTTCTTGTCGCTCCTTTTCAACATTTCTACAACAGTGTATGTATCTCTGTGCAGTGATTTCAAGGCTTCCATTAATCTTCCCTCTACTTCACTTTCTCTTCTAAGCTCTACTTCGATGTTTCTTATTTCAGATGCTTTTAACGCCGACTCTACTTGCCATGTGCTGTCTTCAATCTTGCTATTTTTGCACTCTTCTTCTAACGAAGAATACTCTGCCTGCAAATGTTCAGTTAGCTTTTTCTTTGGTGGCTGCATCTGTTTTACTCCGCTTGGTTGGGGCATTTCAAGTTTTTCCCGAGCAAGACGGGCTTCCCTATTCCTGAGCACCTCTAATTCTTCTTTTTTAAATTTCTCCCGGGCTTCAGACCTTTGTATTTCCTCTACACACTGAACAAACCCAGATATATTTATACCGCTCTCTATGTCTCTTTTAATCTTATCTATTTGCTCTGTTTCCTTCGCACATTCTTTTTCTAGGCATTCAATCCTACTTTGGTGCTCTTGATAAACCGCTTCTTCCTTTTTAAGTTTGGTCTTTAACTGATCTCTTTGATTTTTTATAGTCTGGTACTCTACCCATTTTATTTTTCCCTGCAATAGACTGATGTGCTCTTTTCTGTCTAAAAATTCTTTTAATTTTGCTTGCTCCTCTTCCAACACATCCATTTTCTTTTTTAGTTCTGTCTGCTGCATTAGCTCCTTCTGCAGTTTCTGCCTATACCCAACTACATTGTCCACAATCTCTTCTAACTCTCGTTTCTTCTCTAACAATTCTGGGTTGCATGCCATTAACGTTGTCTCTAGTTGCTCTTCTTCTGTAAGGGTGGAAAACTCGGTGACTTTATCCTGTGGCAGAAACTGTCCTAAGTTATTTATTTGTATGTTTAAACATTCTGTTATTTCTTTTACCTGGTTTAGTGTAGCAGGCAGATTGTTTATCTTATATGTGGAGCCAGCTGCTGTGATTGTTCGAGATATGCTTATATCAATCATCCTTTCCTTTCCGTTGATTTTTACTATTTTTGACACTTCACTTCTATGGCCTGTTCTTATAACTAGCTCACAGACTGCTTTTACTTCTCCATACTTTATAAGCTCATTCACACCCAAAGACTTTCCCAGTGTTTTACTTGTTCCTCCTAGTGTAAGCGCAATTGCCGATGCAATCGTGCTTTTTCCAGAACCATTCAGTCCGGTTATCAAATTTCCATTTGGAGAAAAGACAAATGTGGTATTTGCATATTTCTGAAAGTTGGTTAGACTCAGTGAATGCAAGAAAGTATTTCCCATGCGCAAAAATATTTCTGCATTTTTATAGACTAGCTTATATTGTTATTTTCATAAACCCGAATTATTACCTTGGAGCAGTCTTTACTCTGCAATTTAACTAATCCTGTCATGTATACACTTTATTACGTTCCTCTATAAAATAGCGCAACGGGTTATTATATACTATCATGCACAATATTCTTATTATACAGCAATAAGAATATTTATAAAAGACAATAAACCCGATTCAACCCGATACAGTTCCATTTTATTGATTTATGCGCATTCATTGGCGCATGCATAAAATTCATTTGGTTTATAAGTAAAGCATTCAATTGGCCATTTCCTGGATAAAATACTCCTTATGCCACTTCTAAATAGAAAATATGCCGCCATTCGACAGTAGTGCGTTCAGCGATAAAACAAATCTAAAACATAATGTTTCAGAAGACCAAAAACACCTCCAGATAGAAGAGATAATTTTAAAAAGCATAAATGACCAAGAAAGCCTTTTTACTCGTGCATTCTTTAATGAACAAACAAAACACGAGTATACAGAGACGTATGCAAATGATATAATTGATATGTGCAGTGCTTACAATTTAGATGAAATGATGTATAATCTCCCAAACACTGGGGTAGATGCATATACACAAAGATCATTCCTTGCTGAATCAGAAGATGCAATAGATCCATTATCTAAGTCTAAGTATAAGCAGAAGAATATAATCAAGAAAGAAGGGGAAGAGAACAGGCCATTTGTATGCACATACTCTAACTGCCAAAAGGCCTTTAAAAGATTTGAGCATTTAAAAAGACATTACCGAATACACACCGGGGAAAAGCCTTTTAAGTGCTCCATATACGGGTGTAACAAAACATTCTCACGTTCTGACAATTTAATGCAGCATGAGAAGATCCATACAAGCAAAAGACCGTAGATGTTTTTATCACAGCACTAATTTTTTATAAGTCTGCCTGCGCGCGCAGGCTGTATGGCCTATTTATTTGGTCCTGTGCCAGTGAATAAAGTAAAAATCGGCTCTATTTATATTTACATTGCTATATTGTATTTGGTGGTGGTTATATTTATTTAAATTTTGCTTATTTCTAATATAGACCCATCCATTAATTTTATACTTACTGCTTAAGAACCCAGTTAGTCAGTAATTTAACTGGACGCCCTGTTGCACCTTTTCCATGCAAATCTGGTGTAAGTGTATTGAAGGCCACGCCTGCTATGTCCAGATGGGCCCAGGGAGTATCTTTAACAAACTCTTTTAGGAACAGTGCTGCAGTGATTGATCCACCCGCTGGTCCTCCAACATTTTTTAAGTCTGCTACCTCTGATGAGATGAGCGATTTATACTCATCTGTTACAGGAAGCCTCCATAGTTTGTCCTCAACTTCATGAGACGTATTAAACAGAGAATTGGCTAGGTCATCTGAGTTACTAAATAGACCAGCCATTACTGGCCCTAGAGAAACTGTGATAGCACCTGTTAAAGTAGCAATATCAATGATTTTTGCAGGGCTGAATTTCAATGCATGGTCAAGTGCATCTGCTAAAACCAGCCGCCCCTCGGCATCTGTGTTGTCTACTTCCACACTCTTTCCTGCACTGCCTATATGTACATCACCAGGCTTTGTTGCGCTGCCCGATGGAAGGTTTTCTGTTAGTGGAATGATTCCAACCACATTTGCATTAGCAGAGAGCCTTGCAAGGGCACCAATTGTACTAACAACTGAAGCGCCGCCTCCCATATCACCCTTCATTGCTGCCATTTTGGCAGATGGTTTTAAGCTAATACCACCAGAATCAAAAGTAATTCCTTTACCAACCAGAGCAATGCACTCCTTTCCTTCGCTCTCTCCCTTATTGTATCTTAGCTCTAGAAGCTTTGGCTCTTCTACTGACCCATTTGATACACCAAGGAAAAGATTCATGTTCATTTTTTTAAGCTCTTCTCTGCCGTACACCTTAACAGTCACTTCCTTTGGAAGATAGTCCTTGGCGTACTCTACAAAAAGTGTTGGTGTAAGCTTGTTTGCTGGCGTGTCTACTAAAAATCTTGCAAAGTTCTGTGCTTCTGAGACGGTTATAGCCTGAAGCACCTCTGCGGTCTCTCCATTGTATATAAGATTTACTGGCGTGCTCTTCTTACTATGCAGTAAGTCATATTTATACGATGAAATAAGAATTCCTTCAACTATCCATGGGGTTATTTGTGACTCTCTCTCCTTTTCAATTACTATGTTCTGTATGCCTTCCTTAACTAATCTTCCTGTTGCTTTGGCAGCAATACTTCTTATCTCTGCCAAATTAGTTGCTTTCTCTTCTGAAACCTTGCATAGGACATATGTTCTTTCTTTATAGACCGTCCACATGTTTGCTGTGTTTTCTGGCAAGCCTGTTGCTATTTCCTGCAATTCACTTGGAATATCTGTTATTTCTTTAAAAATGACTATTTCACCCGATCCTCCTTCTTTTATTTCAGATTCTCTCCTAAAGCATATTCTCTTCCAATCTAAATCCATTAATTGTATAAAAATAAAATACTTAAAAGGCTTATAATTGCAATATTAATTACATTTCTTATAGTTATATTTCGGAATAATAATAAATTTAGTAAAATTAACTTGAAATTAAGCTGTATAATTAAAACAAATTATGTTTATTGCTCTGGGCTATGTTTGAACACTATATATAGCTTGTTATGATTATTAATCAAACTATTGCTAAATAGCATCTTAATATACTCTTAAATATTTCTATAACTAAGCACACATGCACTCTTAAATTTCTTTTTATTCACTTTTTTCTTATTGTTAATGTCTACTGTTTGGCCGGGTGAAATACTAGAATACACAGATGACTGTCTAGAAGGGCATGGGATATATAAAGAAATGTCTGGTGAGAATGAAGAAATGTTCATTTCCAGCATAGCGGGGACAGTAAAACAAGTTGATAGATTAATAACCATTGAAGCAGACACATACTGGTATACGCCAGGAGTGGGTGATGTTGTGGTGGGCTGGGTTACTGGCATAGCAAATAAAAGATGGTATGTTGAGATTAATTCTAGGCAAGACACCGTTCTACTTCTTAATTCAATCAATCTTATAGGAAATGTTCAAAGAAGAAAAGGAGAACTAGATGAAATAATGATGAGTGAATATTACTCGATAGGGGATATAGTAATAGCAGAAGTGCAGTCCACAGGAAACAAGATACAGCTACACACAAGAAGTTCAAAGTACAGAAAGATATCCTTTGGTGTTCTAATTAAGCTGGAAGGAGCAGTAACGGATAATAGAGGACAGTACCATAAACAAACAGTGAACGGAAAGGAAATAGAAATAGTGATAGGTAAAAATGGCTATGTGGTAGTACACAGCGATGATCATACTGCCCATGGAGAGATCAAAGAGGTGGCACTATCCCTTTCTAATTATATATAAGCCGAAATATCCCAATTGTAGTAGAACAAATTTCGGATTATAATAGTCTCTAATAATAATAAAATAATAATAATAATCTGTTTTTAGAGCTGCTTGAATAGAACTGGCTTCTTATTAATATTAAATAATTCTAACAGCCTGCATTGTTGTTAAAACAGAACATTCAGTATATTATAGTGCAATCCTAGCTTAGACTTGTTATGGTTGATATCTTTTATACTTATATGTATTTTTTGAATATCCCTAGCAGCTAAAGACATTAACTTGTTACGGCCGCCCTAGGGGCACGAGGAACGGCTTAGTAAGAATAGGAAGAGAGTGTGTAGCGCTCGACGGCCATCCGCACGAGGCCTCTCGAACTTTATATCAATAAACTGATTTCCATTTAAAAAATTATATGTGATATACATGCTTTGAACTTCATATTACTACTTACCTTTAAGACAATCATGAAATAGAATCTTCTATGCCGCCTTGTGTAAATTTTCATCAATAAATGTATTTATTTGTTCTTTCATAATTTATTTTATTGGTGTATAATCGTATAACTACTGTGGTGCTATAATCATAGAAGTTATAAATTGAAGATATCATTTGTTTAATTTAAATAGAAAATAACCAGTTATTTAAATGACAAAAGTATAAATAGTCTGATAAATCACTAATTTACAATGAGGCGCATTAAGATATTATTAATTATATTCTTACTATGCATTTTGATTGCAATTGGAATAGTTGTATATGAAATAATAAAAGAGATAAGTGTAAGTGAAAGTGAAACTAGCAGCGAGGCATATGATAGCACAGAAAGTGATATAATAAAGTCATCTATCAGTGCTCAAAGAATTTATCATTCATCCACACAACAGAACAAAAACCAAGCTACACCAATAGTGGCGCCTGCTGCTTTTGCTATCAATCCACGTTCTTCTGTGGACAATAGCCCCCTTAATCATACAGTGCCGCCGACAACATCAACCACTTCTAAAGTAGAAGTATTTAATAGGCACACTGTAGATAGTACATCTTTATTGGGTGACGTTTCTACTACCGAAAATCAAGGTAGTATTTACGATTGGGATTCTAAAAAACTAGAAGAGCAAACTCAAAGTATCCAGTCCTCAGTAAATGTTGAGAAAGATGATTTAGCTAAAAACGCAACTGTATCTACAGATTTTACAGCTAGTAGAAGCAGATTGTATCCACGGTTAGAGGATGATATTAATGACGAAAGAGTTTCTATAGATCCTTCGCCAAAATATACAAAATTCACTACTGTTTATGCACATAAATTACCACAATTAAGTACAGAGTCCGGCGCTTCACATGCTGCATTAGACTTGGATGACCAGCAGACTACATCCCTATCTAGAGGAATAGATGCAGTTTCTAGTATAACTAAAGAAAAAGAAAAGGAGGAACAAAAAGAGAAAGAAGAAGAAAAAGAAAAGAAGGAAATAAAGAAAGAAGAAGAAAAAGAAGAAAAGAAAATGCATCTAGAGTCTAATTTATCATCATTTAAAACGATTAATTCTAATGATAAATCTAGATCCATTAAGAAGGTAGAAGCAGTTTCCACCATCACACCACCTGCCGCAGACCCGAATTATGATTTTACACTAACTATTCCTGTGGAAGAAGAAAATAATTTAGAGAGCACAGAGAAATCACTTGAAGCAATCAACCCTAATAAAGAAGGGGCGATTTTCTCTATCACATCACCTGCTGCAGGCCAGAGCTCTGGTTCTACAGCAACTATTCCTGTGAAAGAAGAAAATAATTTAAAGACTAAAGAGGAATTATTTGAAACAATTGATTCTAGTCTAGATGGTGCCACTGCAGAAGAAAAAGAACTGGTTGGTATGCTAAATGATATTGCTAAGTCAAACCCAGCCCTACCAAGAGTAAACTATTCTAAGGATAAAGAAATTATTAATGCAATTATTAAGAACAAAGATGTGGTTGTAGTTGAAATGTATTTCAATGCTTTGTGGTTGAAACCTAAAAAACTTTTTGGAATCACACTATGGAAAGTATTAAACAATATTGTAAAAAAAGATAAAAAACAGCTAGAGTTATATAAAAACTCTTTAATAACAAATGTTGCTATTTCTTACCCTAAAGAACTCCAGCACTTCCTAATCATAACACATGCTTTGCTAGGGTATTATAAAAACACACGAAGCTCCATGAATTGTTTAACGCTTAATGGATTTAACTTCTCAGAAAAGGCACATGTTTTCAGCAAATATGACATTTTTAATCATGTAAAAACACTTACACTTTCTAGAACCCATATTTTCGCTAGTACATTATCTCAATTAATCAAGAATTCAAGAATATATACGCTTAATATTTACAACAATACAGTTATAGATTTTGATTCTAAGTTAGATCTAAGCTCATCATGCATATTGACTGTAGAAATAGATGGAATAGATGGAAAGTGTATAGATCCATTGTTAACTGGATTAGCTAAAGCGAGTAGGATGTCAAGAATGTCTATAACCAACATTGATTTTATGAGCGCTTCTGCACTTAAAAACCTAGCAGAGCTTAGTAATGTACACGAATTCACTCTCCAAAATATAGTTTTTGAAGGTTCACCTGACTTCTCCTTTCTTAGAAAAATGGATAAACTTTTTACTTTAACTATGCACAATATTTTCTATTCGTATACAAATGAATTTAAAATAGAAGACTTGGATAAAATTAAGCAGAATCCAGAAGAATACTTAAGAATAACAGCTGAGCCAGAAGACTCTTCTGCACAGAAACAAATAGAATTAAACAAGTCAGACGATATAGTAAGAAAAAACAAAGCACTTGGCGAGTCTATTTCTCCTAATCTTATGATTAATATAGACGGAAAATTATACAATGATTTAGGATTATGCAAATTAAAATCCAAAAATAATAATAATTTTGGTTATATAAGACTTCAATTGGCGCCCAGCTCATTAAATGCTAAGGCAAAGCAAGATTCTTTTATCTTTAGTTTTAAAAAAACAAAGCTTGAGGTATTTATTGATATAGGCAAAAAAAAGTTTAAAGATGTAATTGATTGTCTTAAATGCATTGACTTTCCATTCACACGGGAAACAGTTATAGATGAAATTATATTTATTAGTTATTATGATATATCGAATGATTGTGGAATGATGGAAACGATTTCTGATAGGTTATTTAAGTATGCAGAGCACAATAAGATTAAGAAAATCACAGTTTCATCCTTTTTTACTCCCATTCCAATGGATATGTACAGAGTTGTTATGTTTAATAGCAAAATGCCCACTCTTAAAGAAATGACTCTATCTAATATTAAACTAACACCAACTAAAACGCCTGCCCAAAACGATGATGAGAAAAAAGCATTGGAATCTTACTGCACTTTTATTGAAAAAAATTCTTTTTATAAAGAACTTCACATTGTAAAAGATGGAAATATTATGAAAATAGAGCAAAAACCAAAAAAATAGAGCGGTTAATATCAAACTATTTGATAAAAACAAGACATAAAAATAGAAGTGTGTCTTTAGTCTGTATTATATAACTATAACAAATACCCAGCCATTTTAGATAAGCTACAGCTTAAAACATTATCATTATTAGATAATAGAAATAAATCGGCTATACATAAACACATCTAATATTTACATTTATAATACACTGAGAGTATTATTTTTATTTAATGC